CTTGAAAATGATAGAGTGGTTACATTGTAAGGGCAACAGTGGCATTTGAGATTGTCCATGTTTCAGCAGGTATACTGCATTAACATACCTTCCTTCTTAGGCAATGAGAGTGGAATAAAAGATAGTAGAAGGATATTAATGCAGCTTAATACTGACAAAAATAGCACTACAATCCTAATGCCTCTCGCAGTTGAGTAGTGGAACTACAATTAGAATAAAAAGCCTGTATAACAACAAACCAGCAAATAACACAAGATCATGCGAGACATGGTGAGCGAGGGGCTGCTGCCCTTGACCACATTATTGCAGTGTTCTGTTCCTTCTGTAGGTGCTGTCTCTGGTGACAGCTGCACTCATGGTGTTGGGTACAAAGAGCTGACACTCTTTGAAAGTTTCCCTCGAGGTCTCTGCAGCTCAGCAGCCTTAGCGTGGCCTGTGGAGAGCATCCCAAAGGAACTTATTTTCCTCTGGTCCTACAGCTGAATCACTTGTCCATCTTCATCTGTGGTTTACGGGTGGGGAGGACTGAGCTGAGTTATTACTTTACCTTTGGAAACGAGCAGTGAGAGCTGTAGGAAAGCCGTGCTGGTACATCAGAGTGCTGTTCCCTGATGTGCTTGCAGAGCTTGATGCTAACTTTGGCTGAACTTGGCTGTTGTTTAAACAGCTACAGATGTTTGGACAAAGTTAAGCAATCCTATGTTGTTTTTTTTTTTTTCTCCCTTGGCCTTTTCATGTGTAGTGAAGGGTTATTCCTATGTAGAGATTTGCTGAAGCCATCTTTGTCCATGGGAAAAATGCCCCTGATGTCTGATGATGGGTGATGTGCTATGTGTTGGCTGCTTATGCCTGCAGCCATGGAAAATGGAACTGTTTTAATAATGCTTAAGGAATGGTGAGGCTGGAAACACCCTGAGCAAAGGGACTTGGTATGGTTTTCCTGTAAGTGGATTACAGCATCCTGACTTAAGGAGGGGGGAGGAGGAGAGCAGGGAACGTGAGCCTTCCCCCCCCCCTTGTACTTAGGAGAGTCAGTGCTAAGGAAGTTCCTCTGGCCCGCTGGATAAGGCGAGATATGACATAATTCTTGGTGGGCAGGAGTTAATAAGTATTTGGATTGTGCAGAGAGGGAGTGGGTTTGTGCCTGGTTCAGCAAAGCACTTAAAATGATGTGCCTGCAAGCATAACTGGGGTTTCAAGTGCCTTGCTGGCAGTCCCTGGAGGCAGTCTTCCTAGGGGATTGTAGGGGACCTCTGAAAAGCATTTGGTTGTCCTTTTGTCTTCTGTGCTAAAGCACAGTGGGCTGTTCCGCATGCAGAGCTTTGAGGTGGATGAGACAGCTAAAACACAGAAAGCTGGAAACAATTTGATGGAAAACCACATACATTTTTCCTGCTCAGAAAAGAATTTCACCCCTGAAAATTTGTTTTGAGTGGCATCTAGTACGTCTGTCAGGAACTGTCGTAATTCTAGATATCACTAATTTGTTGATAGAAGGGCAATGGAGAGAACTCAAACCAAAGCAGCGTGTGGTTTTGCGTTGGATTTTGTTTTTAATGATCTGGTAGTTGACTCTTTCAAGTCCAAGGATTTGCTTCTACTCCACTGGAAAAAGGGGTGACTTCTCTTCAGACCTCACTGCTTTGGGGCTACGTGGTCCAAGGCAGCTGGACAATGTCTGCAGGGGAAGATGGATCTGTGCCCTGGAGATGCTTTGTAGCTATTACTGCAGAGCTTAAACGTGTGGCTGGGAGATCATCCTGCTGCATGTAACGTCTTTGGGAGGTTCACTCAGCATGGATTTTAAAAGGAAGTATTCTGAAAATTGTATTTGGATGAAGCTATTCCTGTTTTCTCAGCTCCTCCGATGTCTCCTGGTGGTGGATCAGCCCAGCAGGGTAACATGGCAAATGCGCTGTTCCATTAATTTTGCAGCTTGCAACAAAGTAATATCCTGTGCCTGTTTTCAGCTGGACATTGCTGGCTGCTGATGACTTTCTGCTTGCAAGAGAATTCCAGGCTTTAGTCACTTAAATGAACTAGTGCTGTCCCGCTTACCTCTCTAAGAGAGGGATCACATACAGCCTTGCGCAGCTGGTTTTACCTAGGTTAGAAGTGGCTACAAGGAGCTGTGCATCCTGCTGAGCTTACAGAAGGGCTGAAAATACAACTGTCAGTGCTGAAAACCGGCCAGTACGCTGACACAAGCTGCATGGAAACATACTCTGTATAGCCAGGAGATCACTGGAACTTCACATTTTTTCCAGCTTATAGTAAGACCAGTTTGTTGGAAACAAAGGCTATGCCTGCCAAGATGTGAGGATGTTCCCGTGTTTGCATAGCTTTGCCTCTGTTTTGGCCCACCTTCTTTGGCCATGTGTGCACAGCTCTCTGACTTGGGGCAGTTGAAGCTGTTGGCCTGACCTTGGCTGTTGTGGAGTTGCTTCATTCCTGATGTGTCTCTGGGTTGTGGCAGAGCTGCCATATTGCTTTAGGGGCTGGCAATTTCTGCCCGTTGTTGTGGTTTCTGAGAATAGAAGTAACCAGTCCTCCCATAATGTGTATTTGGTGCTTCATAATCATTGCGTGTCCATTTGCCTGGCATCTATTTCCTTTTAATTCTGTCCAGATTTAGCAAGATTGGGGGTTGGACTGGAATAGTCAGGAGGAAGCTGGCTGCAGTCAGAGGCCCTGGGAGCTGAAAGACCGTGGGGTGGTGGAGCTGTAGATATGCAAGGAGGAAGGGGATAAAGGCAGTCAACAGCTAAAGCATGCTGATTTTAATAGAATGGTGTTGTTTGAATTTTTTCTTCCCTTTCTACTTCCCTCATCCTCCTCCCGCTTCACAGTGCGGTACAGTCCTGTTCTCTGTGTGCAAAGCTGGGAGTGCTGAAGCCAATTAGCAGAGGAAGGTGTAATTAGTGCAGAGGAATTCAAATTGGGGTGGCACTTTTGATACCTCTTCTGATTTTTTAAATGTGCAGTGACTGAGGGAAGTTTGCTTTGCATTTTTTTGTGTCTTTCTGGGTCACATCCTGGGGACAACTGAAAGCAGGGCTCAGCTGCTATTGGTGAGGAATATTATGACCTGTTTTGAGGCATTGGAGCAGAGGATGCAGTAATTTCTTAGAACTTACGCATCTTCTCTTGAATGTGTTTGGTCAGATCCTGCTTCTTGAATGGTACAGTATAAAAAAAAATTGTGATATAGTATAAAAATGACAATATGTACCCTGACTAAATCTGTACTTCTTTTCTCTGGAGAGAAGCCTGCTGCTTTTACTAGTAGCAAAACTGTCATGCTTTAATCAGCCATCAGTGGGAGTTGAACAATAAAGCAACCAAATTGGTAGGAGTGCTTGCAGGCTATGTAAGCGAAATGATTTTGTACAGCTTCGGTTTGCAGGAGTTGAAGATGAGAGAGAAAAGGATGCAGGATGCAACTTTCCCGTGGCTGTAAGTGCTGCTACATCAAAAGCAGGGCAGCTCCTCATCAAACTTTGCCATTCTTTTCTTCTGTGCAGTTCCACCTGTTGTGTGTGGCTCTCTGCTTTCTGGGCAGGGTAGTGCAGGCTGTGTTTCTCAGCTCCAGTGTGTTGATGTTGCAGACCTGTGCTGGAAGACTTTGTTGTTTTTCTAAGTTCTGTAGTTTATTTGCCAGCTAGCCCTGGTAAGAAAACCAGCACCGGATCTGGACTAGAAGAAAGGTACATTGCATAGAACTTTGCTAATGAGATATTAGCAGTCAGCGTGAGGAGGTATTGACTCCACTGATTGAGAAGATGACTCTTAAATTTAGTGGATGTCTTTTTTTTTTTTTTTTTTTCTCTTTCTAAAATGAAGTTTGATTGTTCTATGTGTTTCTGCTCAGCTCATGTTTCTTTCTGCTGAGCATGGACTGCAAACAGAGGTAGGATATCCTGGTGGCCTCCAAGCTGGGAGAAATGAACTCCTGCTGGAGTTTCTCATTATAAAAAAAACAGAACAGTTTTGATGATGACTGAGACTGTAATAAAAAAGAATAGTTGTTGTTTTTTCAGTGTAGTGTTTTCTCTTGCATTTCTGTGGTTCATAGAAACATAGGGAAATCAAAAAATAAGTCCAAACCTGATCACTCCAATGACTCGAAATGGGATGTTTTACAAAGGAATTAGGAAAGTAGTGCTGACTGTAGGTCCCTTGTTTCTGATAGCTCCGCTGCAGGTGATAAGAGTGGGAGCTCAGAGTGCTGTCTTGCTTTCAGCACAGGCATCTGTTGTGGTATGGATAACACAGAGTGATGGTGCACGTTTCTCAGCCTAGTAATGAGACAAATGTGGCCACAGATTTAGGAGTTCTTAAAAATGATGTGCAATTTGTGGTGCTGAACTTGAAGCGGTGTAAGGGTGAGGGTTTGAATTTGAAGCACTATGAACATATTGGGCTCTCTGGAGCTACAGGACTTTTAAAACTCCCTGGCAGCAGTGAGCAGCATCTCTGTGGCTCTCTATCCCAGAGCCATGGTTGATTTTTTTATTTTTTTTATTATTATTATTATTTTTTTTTTTTTTTTCCTGAATTTGAGTCTGCTGCATTTTGTTGCCTGGTTATAGTTTTTTGAATGGAATCTTCTCATCCTCTGCATCATTTTCTAGTTTCTCTGGGGCAGCTCTGCATTAGTTTTGCTCCTGAAGTCATGGGGACTTGGACCTGGAAAACCCAGCAGACCAGGTTCCTAGGATAACATTGTTGCTGTTCATACTTCAGCTTTGCCCATTGTAATGGAAATTAAATAGGCAATGAAGAACTGTCTGGCAGGGCAAGCAGTGGGTTTAATAGCTTGTTATCACTGAGATACTGCATGTCTAAGCAAAGCTTGACGCTCAGGAGATGAGGAGATGTGAGGGGGCACCCATCATGGTTGCCAAGTGCCCTCTTTCTTCTGGTTGTGCCAGGACAAAGCTCAGGAGCAAGGACAGAGCTTTATGTCTTACTAAACGGAATTACTCTATTTTCTTCAGGTGGATTTGCCATAGTGTTTCTTGTGAGGACAAACAATGGGATGAAATGTGCCCTGAAGCGGATGTACGTCAATAATGAGTACGACTTGCAAGTATGCAAAAGAGAAATCCAAATCATGGTAAGTCACCACTTCCTTCTGGGGGCTGTGACTGAGAGCCTTGTCACCTTCTGTCTGTGAGCTGTACTGAGTTCACAGAATCACAGAATTACCAAGGTTGGAGAAGACCTTCAAGATCATCCAGTCCAACGTCCACCATGTCCCTCAACACAAAATCCAAACATTCCTGAAACGCCTCCAGGGTCAGTGACTCCTCTACCTCCCTGGGCAGCCTATTCTGGTGCCTGACCATTCTTTTACAAAAGTAGTATTTCCTAATGTCCAGCCTAACTCTACCCTGGCACAGCTTGAAGCCATTCCCTCTAGTTCTAACACACAGTTTGTGTCACAAACAGTGGGTTTCCTTAGCAAAATGGTCATTCTTCTGGAAGGCCCAAGCTCTTAGAGTTACACGGTTATGTGAAATATCTTGGGTTGAGTTGTTTGTAACTTAAATTGTTTTAGTAGTCAAGAAAACATGACAACTGAAACACAAAGGGAATCTCAGGAGAAAGAGAGGGGACAAAAGAAACTCCTCAATCAACCCCAGACCTGATGGGAAAGGGAAGAGCTGAAGAGATGTTTGTGTTTGGGGGGTGTTTATCTTCTAGATTTCACTCGGATGCAAGGTGTTACGTGATAACTATTTTAAGTAGTAGTTTTAAACTTAGCATCTCTAAACAAAGAAATGGAAATTATTTAACTGGATTTGGTGAGTTTTGCTCGGAGCCTAATAATAGTGGAAAGGGACACTTAGAGAAACTGTGCAGTGAGGAATGAAAGAGAACACCCTTGTTCTGCAAATTTATGATATGAGGTGTTGGTTTAGGATAAGTGATCACTTCAAAAACTTCCATCCGTAGTGTTTTTTTAAACTAGCTTTTAATTGAGTTAATACCTTCAAAGATAACTTCTGGATTTTGTGGGTTTTTTATTTATTTTATTTATTTATTTTTTTTTTGTGCAGTGCAGCTTTTGGGTATGCTTTGTCAGTACCGCAGTTAGTGCTACGTTGGTAAAGTGGTGTAAGATCTAATCTTAAAAGGCTTTGACTGTGCTCACAAAGCTTGCTTCCTTGCATTTTTCTTGCTAGTGCTTTCCATTGTCTCTGTCTCTTTGGAGCGTGGCTAACCTGGAAAGCAAGGGCAGGAAATGTCTTTCTGATTTTTTTTTTTATTCTTTTTTTTTTTTCTGCTGAATCTTCACAATAAGATTGGAGCTTCTGTGTGCTGGTGGAAGGTGGGGGGAAGAAGTGCAGCACATACCATGCATAGCCACTGCAAACCATCTGCTTGCTTCTCCCCTACACAAAGAAGGAGCAACTCCAGCAACTTAACGTGGGTGATTGGGGGACACATCCAAACATCTGGACCAACCCTATGGGAGTTAGTTCTGTTGGTTGTTTGCTTCGCTGTTGCTTGTCTCAAATCATTCTGAAAGGAAAGCAGAAAGCAGGTGGAGGCAGGCCTCAGATTTGATCATGTTGTATGTAGTGGTTAAGCCAAAGTGACAGGAGCTTGCGCTTAGGTAGGGGAAGAGCTAGGAAAGCTAAGTGTTGTAGAGGAATCAAATTCAAATGCTGCTCATCCTGTGTGGCTGTATAATGCTTTGAATGTGTTTATTTTGCAGAGAGATCTATCTGGCCACAAGAACATTGTAGGATACATTGATTCCAGTATAAACTCAGTAAGCAGCGGTGATGTGTGGGAAGTGCTGATATTAATGGACTTCTGCCGAGGTGAGTGTGGGCTCAATATGTTGTTCATCTGTAGGTTTGGCCCTTTTCAGTGCTTACAGGAAAATTGCACAGCATTTTCCTTTCATTTCAAAAGGGAAACTAGTCCTAGGCATGGCCCTTTCTTGAATACCAAGGAACTGTTGTGAACAAAACAAAGCAGAAACTAAATGTAGAGAAACAGATGATATATGAGGTTATGCTGACTCTGTTGATTCAGCCTTTGCTGAGATGGTCCTGGATTGTTTTTGTTGTGAGGGGAAACCTTGAAGTGTACATATGTAGCTGTTTTCCATAGGCCGGTCCATACTAAGTGCTCTTCTATAGCTGCAAGGCTGTGGAATGAAATTATTCTGCACTGCATGTCATGCAGCAAGCTTTTTCTCTTTCAGCCCGACTTAGGATTATTCTGGAAGAAGCTTGAATTGGACAATGTAAAGCCAAAAAGTATTCCTTTTTACTTCTTTTTTACTTGTCTGTCTCTAGCCAGACAGGCTCTTCTACTTCTTCTCAACTGTCCTAAAGCCTTGATCTTTTGTGGCTAGGATGTGATGTTTAGAAAATTACACATGTGCTGTGCTCAAGTGCCACTTGCAGGAAAAGCATGAGCAAAAAGAATATTTTGGCCAGGTGACTTCAGAAGTCTGGCTGTTCTGGGTGGTTTAATACTGAATATCACAAGGAGTGTTTCAAGGAAGGGATCTGACAGTGCCAGTAAGTTCATACTCAGCTCTGTGTTACAGGTCGCACTTCAAATAAAAGTATAAATGCTGGCAATTCAGAATTCTCTCTTGCTAGCTTTCCCTCTGTGTTGGATGGTGGGCTTACAGAGTATGTTTTGTCTTTCTAAAGTGTCTCCTCTATGAGAAAAGGGCTGCAAAGTGGTATTTCTCTTGTGGCTTGCAAATACCCTTCTTGGCACATTGTTCTCTTGGTCTTCAACTCTGAAGCACAGGAATTCTATCATGCGTTGGATTTCCCTTTGTTACTCACAATCTGTGACAAACAGCTGCTTAAACTGAATTAATGCATCTTTATGTGCTGAACTGCACTTGCTGAGTGCATAATACAGCTCTACTACTTACTAAGCTCAGCTTTTCTTCAGAGCTTTAGTGCTATGGATATGAATTTTGATGCAGCTTTACCAAAGATACAATTTTTTTTTTCCCCGTGTACCTCTGATGTTCTTAGGGGGAAGAAATTGTGTGGATTTTCTGTGAAGACTTTTACAGCAAACAGATGAGGCAAAGTTAGAACTCATTCAAAGCATGAAAACTGCTGAAGGTTCTCCTTGTACAGATAGATTTTGCCAGTCTGTGATTTTGGCCAAGCCATTTAAATTATGCTTTTTTTGAGTCTGTCTCTTTGCTTCCATGTGGCAGACTGTTTTGTGGTCTGTGGGTGCCTCAAATTTAGCCTTCTTTTCCTCTATTCTGACAAACATTTTATTTTGAGGAGGAGAGGAAAAATGTGGCTTAGAATTGCATCTCATTGTTAACATGGTGAGGTGGAGGAGAAGCAAACTTGTACTACTGAAGCATTGTCCAAGGGTCAGATGGAGCACCTCCTGGCAGATATATAAAAGTTTAGGCAAAGAAAGGAGGAAACAAGATGACTGAGCTGATTGCAAAGAACCTCTGGGGGAGGTTTGGAGCCAACTTTGAATTTGATCTCATGAACTTCTTGTGTTCTGATATCCAGCCACCCTGTGAGGAGTTGTCTAAGGCAGGGTGTATCTGGTAGGATTGGGGCTTGGACTGGGCCTGGTGTAACTTGGCACTCTTGCTCTCATTCTTGTTGTTATTTTTCCTTAGGAGGACAGGTGGTGAACCTCATGAATCAACGACTTCAGACAGGGTTCACAGAGAATGAAGTCCTGCAGATCTTCTGTGACACCTGTGAAGCTGTAGCAAGGCTGCATCAGTGTAAAACACCAATAATCCACAGGGATCTGAAGGTGAGCTGTGGACTCCAGTAAAGCAGGAGGGATTGTGTGTGATCCTGAATGTGTATGTTGTCTGCCTACACTGTGGCTGATGGGCTCTGAAGCCTGGTACCGTGTTTTTGTTGTTAGTAATAAGAGAAAGCGGGTGTAAATACCTCTCTCTATTGAAAGATTAAAAAAAAAAAATAGCCTCCCATAGTTGCTTACCGTATGTGTACTGTCTATAGCTCTGCTTCAAAAACAAATGTTTCAAAAACTGTTTTTCACCAGAGATATGCCAGAATGTATTTGATCAATTATTCACAGTCACTCTCTGCCTACCACCTGAAACACTATTGATATTATAAGTTGTTCAGAGAAAGTTTGCTATATGTTTCCTGGACCTATATGAAAAGGATCGCTCCAGAGATGTTGGCTTTGTGGCAGGAGTTGTTAGAAGCTTTTGAAATTGGCCTTTAACTATTGACCGTGAAACTGTGTGGATTGCGAGGCTTTCTGTGCTTTGGAGGGGAACAGAGCAAGGCCAGCAGGGAAAGCTTCTGAAAAATCCTATGCCTGTAATCAAACAAACTCAAAAAAGAATTTGCTTTTTCTCTCAACCGGCTCGTAAAAATAACTTCAGTCCGGAAGGACTTGTGTGGCTTGTGTGTACGTTTGAACTTCAGATGTGCTTTGTGGGTCAGGCTCTGTTCTCTGAGCCCTCAGCAGCTGTTTGTTTAGTGCTGCTGGCCTTTGTTTTCTAGGAGTATGAAAAGCAGGTAGCACAGAGGATAAAAATACATGGAGTCTGGTGTCCCTTTGCATTTCAAGTGATTGTAACCCCACTGTACAGTCAGTTGTCAGCTGGTGTTTAGTTTACTGAGTGGAAGGAGGGACTAAACTTATCTAGTGCTGATAATGATGACTTACACAAATACTCTATACCTGATGACAGTTGTGTTGTTTATTTTTGTTGCTGCTGATGAAGCCTGCTTGATGAATGTGCTGATTTGATTAAAACTTCCAGGTTGCTTCAGTGAGAAGTCATGTCCAACTTCTCAGCCAGATAAAGTGGAAGGGATTCTTCTGGAAACGTTTAGAGGGGGTAGGGAATAACATTGTCAGTGCTGGTCTCTTAAAAAGCAGATCTGTGTGCGGTGCTTATTCAAAGCAGATGAATGGCAGAAGTGAGGAAGAGGGATTGTTTCACCCCTGGTTTCATGCCAGCATTTCTTTCTCAGCTGCTTTAATTTGGTGGGATTTTTCAGTGCTTAAAATGCTGACTTCTTCACTTTCTTTGCTTTTTGTAAATGTTATCCTTGATAGGGAGGTCTATTTCCAAAATATTTTTGTCATTGACTACTTGTGGGCTGCATCTTGGTTTTTTTGTTTGCTTGTTTTTGAAATCTACAAGCAGTGTGTTTTCTCATGGTTGGACCTGAACACTTTGAAGGCAAATAAATGAACATGGTAGATTTTTGCTAATGCGTGATTGTAAGTTCGAATACTTAGGAGAGAGCTGATCTTTCAGCGACCACAGGTGCCTGTTGTGGTGTAGACTTGTCTGATTCAAGCTAACAAATAGTACTTGAAAGCAGGGGGTCATCCCAAATTCAGATTACAGAGTATGGCTGAGGGAACTTGAGTACTGAAGACACTGAAATGTGGAATTTTTGTCCTGAAGTACACAGCCTTAATAGAGGCAGAGTGACATGCTTGCAAAAAAGTAAGGAAAAGGAAAGGACATCAGGCAGAATGGAAGGCAGTTTTACAGCTGTGTTTCTATGATCTGATTTCCATTTTAGGAGGTGTGACAGTTTTGGTGCTTATTTTCTTTGATTGTCACATTACACACTTGTCTGATGTGTCTGATATGTCTTCAGGCATTAAAACCCTGAATCACCTGAAGAAAACAAGCTATTTTAATGTTTCCGTCTAGTTGAATGGTTCCTTTTTTTTTTGGCTGCAACATTCATAGGTTGAAAATATCCTGCTACATGATCGTGGCCACTATGTCCTCTGTGACTTTGGAAGTGCTACCAACAAATTCCAGAATCCTCAAACAGAAGGGGTGAATGCGGTGGAGGAGGAGATCAAGAAGTAAGTGAGCTTTTTCCTTTTGCCTCAGACACAGTTTGTATTTGAAGAGTGACTTTCTTTATACTGTGACTGGATTTTACTGGTGCCTGTGGCAGCAGGTTGATGTTGCTACATAGAAGTACCTGGTAGGGGTAGATAGGGGCCTGGGGGAAGGTGAAACAATCAAAAACTGAGCTTGAAGTAATTACTTTGGACCTGAAAGACTGAGTGTGCTAAGGCAGAGGGGTTGCCTGCCTTATGATGAGGCAGTGACATGATTTGTTTGTTATGGAATTAATCTATCTCTTGGTTTGTTTGAACCACAAATATAGCGAATGATAAAATCCCTTTCTTTTCATGAGCCTCTCATCTTCAATCCTTGCAGTAAGTAAGGAAATACATGGCTCATCTCCCCATGAAAATGGAGGGACTTCAGGGTGTTTCATTTGATTCCTTTTGCCTATGTGTGACCAGCTCTAGCAGTATCAGTCCTGGATGCCTTGATATGCTTTTAGAAAAGGAAATCAACTCACAGCCCAGTAGGGCTGGATCAGAGATGGAGCAGTTGCCAAGTCCTGCTCTTGCTTTAGTTTTCACTTCAGTGCTACACAAACATTCCTGTTCCATTAATACAATACTTTGGCTGGGAAACAGCGTGTTAGAAATGTGTGCAAATGTTTCCTTTCTGTGAGGATTCTGTCATACCTGCATGGACTTCCTGAACTTGCTTCACTGAAGTTCCCTGAGCTCTCCCACTCTTTCTTTGCAATCCCTTTGGAATGCTTTAGCAACCTTTTCTTGTGATCAAGCCAAATACGATAGAATGTGATACAGCAAAAATTATAAATGCACTGATAGAAAACCTTAAGAATCTCAAACTGTGGCTCAACGTCCATCTATTTCATTTACTGAATAAAATGAGGCAGATTGTAGTTTGAGCTGAAGCTGCAAAATAATCTTTCCTTTGTCTACAATGGCTCTGAGCAGGAATCCCAGCATGGAAGCCTATTTATTAGGAGCCTTGTATCCAGTTGCAATCTTTGTAGGTTGGCCAAAAGCCCAGTGGTAGGCAAGGACATTGCAGAGGACGCTTGACTTCTGGCCTTGTTAATATTCTGAATTCTTGGATGTTTGTGTTTTAGCTCTTAAAAATACTGTCCTTTGTGAGTAAACTCTGTTGGAGAAGTAATCTTTGCTTTTGCTTTGTTTTCCCAGGATGGTTTGCGGTGTCGGTATTCTCATGTTAGAATCATGCAGTAGATTCTGATGTTGATAATCTGTTGAGAAATATCTAATTTTTTTTTATTTTTTTTTTTTTTTTAGAGTTTGCCCCAGAACTAATAGAAAAGCATGAATTTTGAACTATTTTAAATGTGGCATACTGAAAGCTCATCTGATATCCACGTTAAACTCACCAATAGATCTTTTTGCTGCAGGTACACTACGTTATCTTACAGAGCACCAGAAATGGTCAACCTGTATAGTGGCAAACTTATCACTACAAAAGCAGACATATGGGTATGTATAAAGCCCACTTAACATCACACAACCAGACTGCAGTTTGCTTTCGTTGTCCTAACGACAAGATAACTTTCTGGCTGGAGCTAGCCTGGTTTCCATAAGACTGGATAGTCTCTGAGTAGAGAGTTGCTCTGCTTCAAGTTTCTGAGTTACTGCTAAACAGGCTGGCTTCTGGGTAAGACATGATTGGTGCTTTGCATACTGCTTTTCATGTGCTTTTAATATAGAGATGTATGAACGGTGTATGAGTCCAGAATTGAACACTGCAAACATGATTTTGTATCATAAAACAGTTAAAACAGAAAATTCAAGGTGTTGTAACTTGTGCTTTTGTTGAGCAAGGGTGTGAAACCAATGTTACTAGGCAGAAGAAGATGGAAAGTGGAGGAAATAGGCTTTCCCCTAGGGAATAATAGCATGCTTCTGGGCAGGGTAGTGCAGCTCAATCGTCAAACCTGGCTAAGGACCAAGCTTTTGTACTGCTGTTTGTAATGAGGAGTGAATCTTGCTATGTTTTCTATGTTGAGAGAAAAATGCAGCTGTGGTGTAATCCATTACTAGATAACCTAACAACAAAAGGATGGTAGGCTTCCTCTTAATTGGGATGAAGAGCCTTTGTTTGTGGAGAAGTGGCAATTCAGCAAATAGGATGTGTTTAAAAATGCTAATTTGCATGTGTTTGTATGGTTTTTGAAGCCCTGAACTAGAAAGCAACAAGGAAGCAGCAGTGTAAGGAGAGTGTTTATGGATCCTCTATAAGTTATGTTTGCATTTACAAGAGGGACAATTGCTGGTGCGGCATCACTGGACAGAGTCCTCTGTATTATCTGTGAGCCCAGCCAAGGGTCAGGAACACAGCAGCTCATATGGGGCTCTTGCAGTGCTGAATTCAGCAGGAGGTTTTAGACCCAGGCCCAGACCAGCGTTGGGTTGCTTGCCTTGCTGAGCTCCAGAGAGGGGATGGCACAGCTGTAACAGCATGAAAAGACTGTCAGTGCCTCAGAGGCAGCTAGAGGAGAAGCCTGGGTTTGTACCCTTTGTGATCATGTAGAGAGGTGGAGACAGAGGCTCAAGCTACTCTCTTCTTGGCCTTGAAGGAATTCTGTTCTGCTCGTTTGCTGTGCTCCCAAACAAATATGCAGTGTTGCGCAGAGCGCAGCCTCAGCTTAGGGCATCTTGCAGTGGTAGTCCTGCTTAGCACCTTCCTTTCTCCAAAACTCACCAAGGTTCTTTTGAACTGGTGTACAATTTAATTATCAAATCCTGCAACAAAAGCCACAAGTTGATGGTGAGTTGTTCTGCATTAGGAAATGTGTTCCCCCATTCACCCTGGGATGGCAGTAGTGTTTCATAATTAGCCTTTTGTGTATAACTTGTATATTATTTTGAAAGAGGTGTTTTTTCTTGCTGTCAAAAGCAGCACAGAGATAGATGAGCCAGTGATATAACCTAGCAATCTGCTAACAAATCCTGTATATAATATAAAATAAGTAACGTAATGGTTGGAAGGTTATGTGAATTGCTACAGTTTAAGCTTGGTAACCAATACGTTTTAAGGTTTTTTTGGCCAGAATAAATGTGTTAAGGATGATGGATGTCATTTGGTTTCCCTATTAATTTTGCTTTGTATGTGGGGAACAGGAAAAGGTTTTGTGCACCTGTATGCAGTAGCATATACCGATGTAAGGTGTGTGTCAATTTGGGGATCTTGTTGCATCTTTCCTTCAGTTAGTTAACTCACCTGTTCTGTTCTTTGTCTTCAGGCCCTCGGCTGTTTGCTGTACAAGCTGTGTTACTTCACTTTGCCATTTGGGGAAAGTCAGGTGGCAATCTGTGATGGCAACTTCACCATTCCAGATAACTCTCGGCATTCACAGGACATGCACTGCCTCATCCGTGAGTGTCTCTGACAGTGCCCTAATCAACTTCCACAGAACTTTTTCTTAAGATGTGTTTACATTCTATGCTCCTACAGCAGAACAGTTGGTGTTTATTGTAAGAGGCTTGCTTTGCACACAGGGATGGATGAAATGATTTTCTTGTAGCTTGGGACATCACTCTTCAAAACACAGCTACAGCAGGGATTTCCGTTTGACTGAACTCAGTGGAAAGGCAGGAAAAGAGACAACCTCTTGGTTCGAGTCCTGCGTGAACTTGCACAATAAGTCTATTTACGCAAAATGTATTTCTCCAGTACCAAATCTGTTTGGATAAGAAACTGAAAAGAACCACAGTGACTTAGACCAGTGATAAGAATTTGTTTTTTGTGAATTGAGAAACAGAACTGAAATGATTTATAAATAACCTGCTGCCTAGAGTGAATGTGTAATTAAGGGTACAATGCGTTACTCTTGGTAGAGCTGGGGAAGCTCTCTCGTCAGTGCAGTGTATTTTTTAAACTCTTTTTCTAGCCATAACCTTGAGTGACAGAAGTTATTTTCAAAGCAGCCGAGTATGTTCTTTGCTTATGCAAAAGCAGTGGTCTGTGTGTGTCTTCCTGCCCTACACACTCACTAGGCCTTTGTCAACCTTTTTTCCTGTGGGCTCACTTAAAAATGCAGAAGTCAAACCCTACACCGTTCCCTGCCCAAGCAATCTGGTTCCCCTCCTTGCTTTAGAGCCTGCAATAGCAGCTAGGAGTTACTCATGGAGTGTTTAAAAATATATTTTTAAAAGGTGTTTCCTAGTCCATCCTTGTATGAATCTGTTCTATTTTTCTGATGTATCTTTATCTTTTAAAGGGTATATGCTTGAGCCAGACCCTGATAAGAGACCTGATATTTATCAAGTCTCGTACTTTGCATTCAAACTGGCAAAGAAGGAATGCCCAGTCCAGAACGTCCAGGTGAGTAGTGAAGCAAGGGATTGATGTAGGGCTTTGTGTGAGGAGTTGGAGGTGGCAGCTGCTAAATATTATTGAGGATGCTGCTGTGCTATATTGATTGCTTCCACAGGTCTCTAATCAGGAGGTTCTGTTTTATTTCTTGTAATTAGCAGTGCAGTTTTTTTTTTTTTTCTTGAAGGGAATGTGGAAATCTAGGTTTTGTTTCATACATTGCTTATTTCTTTATTTATATCCTTGTCTAGTTAACAGCATGAGGCCAACCAAGAGACCTTTTGCATGTGAACATGAAAAATTAGGCCGTGCTTGTGAAACCCATTTGATTTTCAGGCAAACTCATCATAGTGTGTGTAATTTGCACTGCAGTTGGTTTTAAAGGCAGTGATTTTTGTCTGCTGTCTGGCTGAGAGCAGCCAACGTGCATTTGAACTGTATCAGACCTTATACAACCACCTTCTTACTGTTCTTATAGAATTCTTACTCCTTCTTACTGTCCTTATAGAATTCACCTGAAAAATAGTTTTGTTTTGTTTGTTTTTTTTTTTACAGTATTATGGATATCTGTGGCATCTTGTTCTGTTGTTTCCAAATTAAAAGAAACTTAATTTTCTTCTATGTTTTGGTAGTTATTTATGATTTTTATGTACAAGACATTAGTCATGTTTGTATTTTTATCAGTTTTGATAACTTGCTACTGTTGTTCCCAGATTCTTTTCAAATACTGAACATGTGCTATAAAGCTTTGTGTTCAGATTGCACTTGTAGAAAATGGTCAGAAAGCTGAATCCTATCTTTCTCCTTGTGAAAACTCACCCAAGCTCCTCTCGTGCCATTAATGAGGAGGGGTTTGTCCTTTGTCCAGAGTGAGGAATAATTGCTTTGGGGATTCTGCAACCTCCATATCTCATTGGTGTGCTTTTGCAAATAATTTCTGACTGTTTTCTGCCCCCAAAGTACTAAACTCAGTGTTCTTGGGATCTGCAGAACTCTCCAATCCCTGCTAAGCTCCCAGACCCAGTCAAAGCAAGTGAAGCTGCGGCGAAGAAGAGTCAACCAAAGGCCAGGTAACCACATCTTCATTACAGTTAGCTCTCTCTTTTACTATGTATTCTCTCTGTGTTCTGTTAGAAAAGATGCTTAGCATATTTAGCTGCTTCTTTGTGGGCTTCTATTTATACACCGAGACAAACACTGCAGTCCTCAGGCTTTGCTTCAATGACATAAATATCCATTGATCTGAAAGACAGAAGATGCAGATGCTGGAAATTTTTGTGTGAGAGGAGGGAGGGATTTGGGCAACGCTCAGCATGACTCAACAGCTAAGCTTTGTCCTAAAGACATTGCTTGACAGTGGCGCTTGAGGTTCGTGCACTTAAATGAATATACTCTGTCATCCATCCTAAGGCAGTACCCAGAGTACCTAAGATAGCAGAGAGACTGCAGTGGGCCTGGAATTGGCCCAGAGAGCACAAGGCGACTGGAAAAATTGCATCAGGAACTATTGCTGTTCCAATTTGGTCCTCAGCAGATGATAACCTGACCCAGTAATTACTCTGTGCAATTGCTGCAGTTTCTGCAAGAGCCATGTAATTTCTTTGGGCAATACAGTCTCTGTCTGAATAGCCTAATGAGTTGGGGAGCTGCTGTACTGTTGTGGTTCTTCTCCTCTCTTGCCACTGCTTGCTCCTTATAATACTGTAATAAAGTACATAAATTCTGTTGGACAAAACTTCTGCTTTATTTTACTGAAATGTGAACCTTCTAGCAGTGAGCACTCCAGAAGCAGCAGTTTTCTACCTATTCTGAAATAGGGCATCTCTACTCCTGCCTCAATCCCAGGAGTCTGCTTTGCTTGTTGTTATAATGGAACTCAGCTATGCTCACTTTAGTAGAACAACTTCGATGTCTCACAAGGAGATGTATCTGCAGAAGGACAGGATGATATCTGGCTGCTTGGCCCTGTTGCTGTGCCTCGATGGAGGATGAGTAATACTGAACAAGGATCAGAGGATGTCCAGTGACCTTATTCTGGGGTAGATGTACTAAAGTTAAGGTATTTTTAAAGACCAGTTCAGACAATTTTGCCCAAAGGCACCAGCTGCTCTTAAGCTTGCTTATCCTTCATCTGCTCATCTGTAATTCTAAGTAGCCTTAAGCAGTATGTTTTAGCAGATATTTGAATTTGACAAATTCCAGCTGTCCAATAGAAAAAGACACCACAAATGGCAGTCACCAAAATGATAATGTTAGTCTGATTGTTGTGAGTGCATCTACTAAGCTCTACTGTGCTTGCAGCTTTCTGGAAGAGGTTTCCTGTGTATCTGGAAGCATCTAAATGTTTTGCCTTTTTCAGTTTATCACCTTTAAAGCTGACGTATGGAAGAGTGTTTAATCCTATGCTGTGTGCTGCTTGTAACAACTCTCAGACTAACACAAACTACTCTTACTACTTCTGATGGTGATTCTTGTTTTTAATTGTTACGTTATTTTGTAGGTTGACAGATCCCATTCCTACAACAGAAACTTCCATAGCACCCCGCCAGAGACCTAAAGCAGGGCAGACACAACCCAACCCTGGAATTTTACCAATTCAGCCAGCCTTGACACCTAGGAAGAGACCCACAGCCCAAGCAGCAATTCAGCCTCAAGGTGAGACTCCTGGCTGTGCTATGGATGTGTTGCTGGACTTCAGTGCGTGCTGTTCACTTAACAGATCCATTCTACCAATTGCAGGGCCTGCTACCCTGGGCAGTGGTCAGCCTTCACTTCCTGCAAGTGTCCCCCAACAAAAAGCAGCACCACAACCAACTTCAGTGCAGCCACAAGCCAAGCAGGCGCCAGCACTCCAGCAGGCATCGCAGGCACAGCCCCAGGTCCCTTCTGCTCAGCCGCAAGCCACACCTCAGCACCAACAGCAGCTTTTTCTGAAGCAGCAGCTACTGCAGCAACAGCAACAGGCTGCATATTACCAGCAGCAGCAGGTGATGCAAGCTCAGCAGGTGAGCAAATGTGGCAGTGTTTGCTGTGTACTTCCTGTGCCAGATATAAATGCACATCACTGCATTTAGAGGAAGCTCTCTGTTTTCCTTCTCTAAAGGATAGGTACAACTTTTATATATATTGCATTTTCCAATGTGTTTTCACTTTTCTAGCAATATTATTTTGTAACAGAAGACTATCATTTTTAACTGTCAAAATGGAAAGCCTTGAGAGGTCTTTGTCGTGAACAAACAAAAGAAGTGGTGTTGGTTAAGGTTTTATAGCTCAAAGTGTTTCAAAGACTTGAGGTGAGTGCTTAATTGATGAGCACAGGAATATTTTTCTCTTCTGTTCTTTGTGATGCAAGAAAGCTGGTATGCCTTTTTTTTAGCAGTCAGGTCTGTTCGTGTGGTAGGCTGTCATGTTGAGAGGCCTGTGAAAAGCTTGTATGTTAAATAGGATTTGTCTGTATAAGACATGCTTAACTGAAGTGTTGATAGCAGCACAGATAACTGCAGAAGCATGTTTAACACTGGAAGAAGCAGGTTAATGAAGCTTCTCGTCCTAGGGGGAAGGTTTAGAATAAATAAATGGAAAAAGGAGTTTGGGACTGCAGGGAGCCTGCTATAAGCAAATGTAACCCAGAAAGGATCTAAGAGTGGACCAGAGTGCCATTTCATGCAGGTGGTCTCCAAGCCACCCCAACTTGTTGCTGCTTTGCTGCTTGCGGAAGCTATGACCAGTCTCATGGCTGATCCCTGAGTTCTGCTAACCCAGTTCCCAGCTGAGCAGCAGGTGTCTCAACTACTGCTTGTTTCCTAGTTCCCAGTGATGCAGCAGGGAGCACCAGCGCAGCAGCAGCTGATGCAAAACTACTACCAGCAGCAGCAGCAGCAGCAGCAGCAGATGATGGCCCAGCAGAAGACAGCAGCAGCAGCAATTCAGCAAAAGCAACAGGCTCCAGCAGCACCACAGCCCCAGGCCCAGCAAAGTGCAGCCCATCCAACACCGCAGCAGGAACAAGCGGTAAGAGCCTGCTGGAGTAGATATAAGTAGCTGTTTCTCTGTCCCTCCTCTGTCATGTGATAAACTGTCTTAAATATTTGTACTTCATCAGAATGAGCACCTGGAACTACGCTATAGTGCTGCTAATTTGTAACTACTTTAATATTGAAGGTTGATGCCGAGGAATGTGCAAGTAGCCTTTCTGGTTGTTTCTGGAATTGGGTAACTTGGGATGCTGAATGCTTTGGAAAGCAAACTTTTCAAGGCATCGTGTTTTTAAAAATAAATACCTCATCCACTTTTCTCATCATCTGACTGCATCCAAAATAAATGCTCTTTACTTAATGGAAAATGTGGCTGTTAGCTGGCTACTTTCTGCTGCAGTCTGCAGTGTTGAAGGCAGGGGAGCTGTGCCAGAGGGCAGGATCTGTGCTGACAGAGTATCTCTGCAGTGCGTATGGCAAAAAGCTGTGCCTTGTGCTCTCATTCCTGCATGGTCACATTCACTCCTTGTTTTTGGGAGTGCAAAGGGATGCCCCAGTCTCCAATTGCATGTTGAAGCAAAAGCATGTGCAGGCACCAGGCAAAAGGAAGCCATCCATTGTTTTGCTATAATGGGTTGCATGTGTGCAAAGCAGTGTCTGATAATAAACCTATTCAGCTATGCAGTGTCTTAGCTCAAACTGAGGGTCAGTTTTTACTTGCTGACTTTGTGTGTTACTATACAGGACCTAAATAATCTCTTAGGCATGCTTCTTTTAAAGTGACATCAAGATTTTTAATTTGACTAACAAAATTCTGTGAGCAAGTGACTTGAGCAATGCTCAGGAAGCCTTTCTTGTCTTGCTCTTTCTTTGTATCTTAAGGCTCTGTCCTATTCACTCCTTCACTTCCATGTTAATTTCCAGTACTGAGCTGCTTGCTAGGGTGAGGTTGGAGCTCTTGAGTTGCTGGTTTTGTTGTGCTGAATGACCTAGGGCAAGTCAGCCTGAAATCTCAGGAAGTTTTCACTACATGAATGAAGTCCATAATTACCCTACTTCTCTAAGGCAGAAATGCCTGACATATAGTACTGAAGTGCATCTCTAAAGAGCTTTGCTGTGATTCACTAGCACAAAAATATTCTTAATACTATTGAATCATTTGGACTGAAAATTAGCATCACCCCCCTGCCCCTACAAGACTCAACAGAATGGATGCATTTGGAGACTTTTCAGCTCCTGTAGCAGTGAGAAGGAGAAAAACAGTGATTGGCTCACTTAAAAAAATGAATACTAAGACATCTTCTCTGAAGAACAGGTTCTCTGAGCAGAAGATACCAAGCCAGGACCTGTCAAAACCTTTTCAAGTTGCAGAATTTCAGCTTTATAAGCTTAGTGTTCATTTCTGTGGAGATTTTGGCACTGCCTGTTTATTTCTTAGCACCAAATGTACCTGCAGTGACCTATATAGCAAGATTTAAGGTGAGTGCATCAGCAGCATTCAGGTCAGCTTGCTTCTCAGCCATGCTGATTTAGTCTGCCTGAAATTGCCAGATGAAAAGCAAGGCAGCTAACCACTTGTTTTCTTCGCTCCACTGTAGTTAAGCACAACACTGGGAATGTAACTCTTCCCTCACTGCCCTCTTAGGTCTTTCCAAGTCTTTCGTCTGTCTTGCCTGGTTGAAAATGTCCTGGTGCTGTCTGGGGAACAGAGTTCTAGTGCCCAGGTGGTGGAGATGACATGGTCAGCTTTCTGGCTTTTTGCATTCTGGCTTTGTCTTTTTAAAACCAGCCAGCAGCTGTCACTGAAAGACTTTTTTTTTTTCTTGAAAAATCGCATCTGGAATGTTGTTGCATATGACTACAAAACAGTATTGAAGGCTTTTATGGGTTTGTGAGCTTAACACAAGACTGAAGTAATGAAAAAATAACATCAGTTTGAGAAACCTCTTGAAACTTCCAAAGGGTTTGTAGTTGAATATTTGTGGGTTTTTGCCTCCGGATTTTAATGTCAATTATGGTCTTGAGGTCGTTGCTTCTGTTTGCTTGGGTAGAAAACTAAGAAAGCTTGCACAAGATTTCTGCAGAAGTCCTCAACTCCTTTAGGAATTTGAAGGTCTATTTGTCACCTTGTCCAGCTCTGTATGTCCAAACAGCAAGATTTCTGTGTCCTTTGATCTGATTTTTATGGTCTACCCTGAATCTTAGCCTCTTCACCTTCAGCAAGCTTCTGAGTACAGGTAACCTTTGCTCACCACAGGTGGGAGAAAGTACCTTCTTGTGCAACTGAAGTAATGCAGAAATGCAGTGGACCACTAATTTCAAGCCCCGCACTTTTCCAGATACGTTTATTTCTCTGTGTTGTTTTTCTCCAGCCTATTTGTGATCTGTGACTAGGAGATCAGATCCTCCAAAACACAGCATTTTTTTTATACCATGGCTGTTGTTCACAAAAGGAGAACATGATCATTTTACTCTCTCTCCTAAATGCAGGCACAAATAAGGCAACAGCAAAAACCTCAAACCACACCACCTACAGCAGTTCAGGGGCAGAAGCTGGGTTCTCTCACCCCTCCGTCCTCCCCCAAGACACAGCGTGCAGGACACAGGAGGATTCTGAGTGATGTGACTCACAGTGCTGTTTTTGGGGTTCCAGCCAGCAAATCTACCCAGCTTCTGCAGGCAGCTGCTGCTGAAGCCAGTCTCAACAAGTCCAAGTAGGTGGCTGCTTGCTTGCTTGATATCAAAGGATATGGATGGGGTGGAGTGTAGATAAGGCTCTTTAGGGTCTTCCTGGGCTCTGCTCTGAGATGAAAATAGACTGGTATAAATTAATAATTGCATCCCCAAGACTGTGTGCCAAGGGCTTGGCAGAAAGTCACTGAAAAACTCCCCAAGTGCAGAAGTCCTTTTGAGTGTTTCCTCATTCCCAGAAGGCTGAGCAAATGGGGCCTTCAAATGGATTACTAAATCTAATCAGCTGTCTCACCAGTAGCTCTGGTGCACGCTTCATGCCTGCTGTCTAGCAGCAGGTCTTCTGCAGGAGCACTTGCTAATGACTTTCATAGTTTTCATTCCTGACATGAGGATGCTCAGGCAGATACAAGTAGATAAGGCCAGCTGGTCCTAGCATTCTGGGTGTGCAAGTAAAATACCTTGCACTGAATGTTTGAAGTAAGAATTGTAATTAGAATGCAGTTGTGTAAACCAACTCATGGTGTTGGCCAGAGAATTTCAGGTGGATTGTTAATGACTGTTGTTTGCTTGACACGGTCACATCCAGATCGGCTTCCACTACGCCCTCGGGTTCCCCAAGGACTTCACAGCAGAATGTCTATAATCCACCCGATGTCTCCACCTGGAATCCATTCGATGATGATAACTTCTCCAAACTCACAGCTGAGGAGCTGCTGAACAAGGACTTTGCAAAGCTGGGTGATGGTAGGTTCATGGATGTACTTTAGTACCAGTCTGCTCTTGAAATAAAAAGTGGCATGGAGTGATGCTTTGTCAGATGCTTCTGGGGCATTGCTATATAATCATGACCTGCTGTGCTGTAAGAGCTTAATTCTTCCAGTCTCCCTTCCCAGTCCCAGTCACCTTGACTGAGCATGATTCTCTCAGGGACAGGAACTAACTGTTCTTACTGTGGCCCTGCTCAGTTGACTGTAGAAGCTACACTATAAACTCAACTTCATCTGCAAGTTGTGATTTGCAAAAAAGTCTTTAAGTCACTCGCTGAAGTAGTATCCTAGAAGTATAGGTGAGTAAACAACCTTCAGAATGGAAGTTTTTCCCCTAAATCTGTGTCTGGTATTTCAGGGAAAGCTCCAGAAAAGATGGGCAGTTCTACAGAGAACTTGATTCCAGGTTTCCAACCAGCTTCATCTGCAGCTCAGGCAGATGCGTTTGGTGGCTCATCTTCCTTCACTGCTGGATCAGGTGAGTCCAAGTGTGGCCTGCAGAGCAGTGTCCTGCATAGTGCTGTGAGAAAGCAGCAGCTTTTTGTCATAGCTTCTTTAAAAGGAAGGTAAAACCCACTAATTGCAGCATCTGGAGCTTTTGGTGAGGAACATGTGAAGCTTTTGGTGCAGTAAGAAACTTAATCAACCTGTGAAATTCACAAAGAAGCTGATTTATGTTGAGGTTTCACATATCATCATTGTTAGGACTAAAATGTGCAGTGTGCAATCACAAATTTGGACTTTGACATTGACTACATATGTTGGAGGATTTCTCTTGCCAGCTGTTGTTAGACCATGTGGAGCAGGGCTAATGTATCTGCTACAGAATTAAAGGGAATAACAGAGACTCTAGTGAGCAGGGAAAATCATTAAAGGTAGAGCATGGTTTGATGCATGTTTGTATTTCTTCAGCTTCAGGAGTTCTCGATGAATGCGCTAATGACCTGAAAAATACAGTATTGGCAAACAGCTCACAGCAGCAATGCAAGTTATTCTCTCCTCTGTCACATGCAGCCATGCAGTGGAAAATGCAATTGTTTGATGTTTCCTCACTGAAGCAGACCAGCTGTTGGCATAACGGGAGGAGGCTGAGGAATCCTTGAAGGATTCTTTAAGGGGCAGGAATAGACAAATAGAAATAAGGGTACACAGATTCTTGATGAGAGGTTTAGAAGAGCTTCTAACAGAGCTTGGTAGTGTAGTCTCTTACCTATAGAGTTGAAATCCACAACACAAGAGTGCATTCCATCTGTTTGTGTGTCCTGTGAACAGTTTATTTCATTAGCCTTTGTTGTTTGATGTTGAGCAGCAGCAGCTCTGGATTCAGCTCTGAAGTACTTACTGCAAAGCCTGAGAAGTCTCTGCATGTTCTGTGTTTTTTGGATCCTGAAGCATGTCCGTTTCTTTAAGTAGTTGTCTCTGAAGTTTGGGAATTCTCTGAGCACAGGCACTGGACTGGTTGCTTCTCTCCCTTTTCTTTGTCTTTCATCTTAAACATGAGCCTACTGCAGTATCTCTTCTTCTAGACAGAGGCCTGCCATGGGGGCTGTCCTGCTATGTGTCCTTTGTCAAGGCATTTCACTTTCTGTGCTGCTGTAAAGTGAAATAATAGAATAATAGGAATACTTTGAGACCTGTGGGTTAAGCTATGTTGGAGATCTGTTTGTTTTGTTGTTGTGTTTTTTTTTTTTTGTTCTGTAGCATCAAACTTGTTCTTACCGTGCATGTGTGTGTTGCCAGGCCATGGTTTCGACACTGTAATGTCGAGCTGTGTCATAGAACTGAACATTGCTTGATGTTTTCCACTTTTCCCTCTATCTCATTCTGCCTTTTCTGTTCATGGCTAACAGCTGAAAAAATGAAAGACATCCTGAGTCTGGATGCTAGCCCTCCTCTTCTGACTGTGCCTGATCCTTTCATCTCTCTCCCATTATCTGACACTCCAGGTAACCAGAACAGGGTTTATGGGGGGAAGGGGAGGTGGACATGACTATTGTCATTACTTTTGTAATCTTAGCCTTAGAGTTCTATTTCTAGGCACACCTGAAATCCTGGCCCTTTGTCAGTAATGCCAAACACCAACAAGTTCTGCTGAACTCTGTGGTAGTGGTGATGCATGGCACATTCTGGCAGTAAATATTCATATGGTGGTGTGAGCAGTGCTCAGCACAAGAGCCCTCAGGGCTAGCAGGCTGTTTCTAACGTCAGTAACATTGGTGTCTTTTAAAGGTTCAGTATTCGAAGCCAGAAATAAATAAATTGTTGGGTAATTACCTGTGCTTACTGAGGCTATTTTCAGATTGGTTTCTAACATTGAAAATTGTAGTTTTCATTATTGTTCATAATTATTTTATGTAAGAATTGGTGTTTCTTTGCCTTCCTGAGTCTTATTGCAATTGCTTGCTTCATGTGAAGCACTAGTTAAGATGTAACTTTTCCAGACTTGGCAAAATTTTCTAGCACAGTTGGTAGTTATTTCCATTTACTTTACAGTACTGCTTGAAAGTCTTTTCTTTGTGCATATTTCTGACTGCAGCAGCCAACACTTTTAGCACAAGATTATTTAAGCACTTAGGAGCTTATTTGCAAATCAGTGAGATCTGGAATATGACATTGTTCTTAAGGAGTTTCTCTAAGCCCTCTGGTGAATGTGTGTGACAGGTCCCTTCTTGTCAGCTAGCTCCAGAGAATGAAGGCTTGTTCCAGCATTCACCCTTGTCTTCAGCTCACGCTCTGAACCACTGGGAGTTTGTTGAGAACCAATGTTTTCATAAAGATCTCTTTCCATGGAGAGTTAAGCAATTCAGGAAAAAAAATCTTTTTCCTATAGTTTTGTAGAACTGCTTTGTTCTGGTTGGTGCTCAAAGAGCATGAGAAGTGCATTACAACTGAAGAGAAACAGGAGTTACTGACAGTCTTTTTCACCTATGTGAGCACTCATCACATAGTTGGTTTTCCTAATGTGAGAGAGGGTGTAATGTTGTGTACATGGAAGGCTTTCCTTTAGGTGTTCCCCTTGGATGGTAGAGCCGGAGCTGACCTGTGTCTCCGAGTTTGTCAACATCTTCAACTGCATGTTACTAAGCTGCCTTCATTTTGTGAAGCAGCAGCTGAATTATGTTTAAATATTTGTTTCAGAGAAGAAAAATTGCTGTGAGAACATTCTGTGTTTATTTCCTCAAGGCAGAAGTAAAAGTGTGAGCCTGTCCCCCTTGGTTACCAGAGCAGTATTGTTCAGCAAGGCTTTCAGCACAAGCATAAGTGAGGCTTTGATTTGATATTTTCTGTTTGCCTTACAGAGCCTCGTAGGTCAGCTTTGTGTTCTTAGCCCACACTAGCTGAGGTCTGGCTGAGAGCTCAGCTCCTCTTTGTTGCTCAAGCAACAAGCACGGTCCTTTTGCACCTGAGCATGCAGGTGGTATTGCTTGGATGTTGGCTGGTGCTTCCTCGCCTTTCATCAGAATGCTCAGAGGGAAAGCCAAGACTTTGTTCTGGAATGCAGCCAGAAACTGCAACATAGGAAGTTCCACACAAATGTGAACAAGAACTTCTTTACAGCGAGGGCGATGGAGCACTGGAACAGGCTGCCCAGGGAGGTTGTGGAGTCTCCTTCTCTGGAGATATTTGAGACCCACCTGGACACCCACTTGTGTGACCTGGTGTAGGGAACCTGCTTTGGCAGGGGGTTGGACTCGATCTCTGGAGGTCCCTTCCAACCCCTACAATTCTGTGATTCTGTGTTCCTCTCTAGTCCCAGCTGAGGGTTCCCTGATACCCTCTGTTGCAGTCCTGGTTGATTCTCTGTGCAGAAGCAGAGCTGGGGAGGTGGATGTGGGTCTTTTGCAGTATGAGCAAGGAGCAGCTGCTGAGCAGCAACACTGGGGTGAGAGCTGAGAAAGAGCCCTGGATGGAGCACAAACCCGTCCAAGCTGCTGGCTGCACCATGCTGCTTCGTGCATTACAGGACAGTGTGGCTTTCCGCAGCCTCATCTACCTAAACACTGTCTGCACAAGAAGTTTTTTCCCTTCCACTCCGTTCTCTTTCAAACAGGTCATTCTTTACCTATTTACACAACCATTTACTCTCTGCAATAATTCATCCTAATTACAGTGAGGAGACAAACATGGCTTTCATGTAGTTACTTGAAGAGTAGTGACACAAAACAATGCTGTCTTGGCCATAACAGAAAGTGAAATAAGCAAAATTCCCTGTAGAGCACTGCAGAATAAAGATGCAGGCGTAGCAGGGTATGGAAGCACAGTGTGCCTGTGCCATCCAGGCATGGGCTGGATATTCTCACTTTGGGTGAAAAGGCAAATAATATCGCTTATTGAAGAGCTGTTGTCACATCAGTGTTCTCTGAGGCTTCTAAACGATGCTTGGATAATATTTTTTGTTGTTTTCATTTCTTTCAAATACCCATGGGTTTTTGTGTGTTTTACAGGAAGGTGCTTCTCTGGGCTGAGGAAGGTAAACAGATTGCAGTTAGCTTCAAAAACAACGTATTTACACGCATACCCTTGTCCAGTTTTCTAACCTTAGCTATCTAAAAAGATGTGGGCCTGGTGCCTGTTCCTAAATATACAATTGGCTTTAGAAGTAGGAGTTTTAAGCAAAACTGGGCATTTTTTTCTCATAGTCTTGTAACACACGACCTTCAGAAACATGTTTTGCAGACTTTCCAAGTAGGATGGTAGAGCAGTGTGTGAGCTGGAGGCGAGCATCAGGCTATTGCAATATTTGAAGAACTGCATATACATAACAAATCGTGAAATATTGAGCTCAGACTGCTTGGATCTGCTAGTTTCTGCTTCTGAAAGCATGAGTTAGCACTCAAATCATTAGCATCCTTGTCATAAGGACAACACAAGTTGGCCTGCTTATATGTTAGTGGGGTAGTAGGGCTGTTAGTGTTTTCAACCAACATAACTCCCTCTACCTTAGACCCATAAAGAAAATAACTGCACCCATCTATTTCAGGTTGCTTGTAGTGATGTTAAGATACACACACACTCACACAGATATTAATAAGAAATTTTTGTTCCAAAATAATGCATTAGCTGGGCTTACGTGGCAGCACACATACACAGGCACATTTTTGGGTACTAACAATTTGACATTGTATCTTGATTTGGGAAGATGCAGAGTGCATACTATTCATCTGATTAGTGCTATTTTACTTAAAATGCAGTGTAGTCTTAAAATCAGTCTACCACTGGAACCCCAAATAAATCACTGTAAATAGTCCCTATGTTATTTCTACCAGGGTTTCAGTTTGATCTGAAGGGGTGTTTTTGGACAAATATTTAAGAATTTAATCATAGAATAATTAAGGTTGGAGAAGACCTCAATGACCATCAGGTCCAGCCCCAATCCATCCCATTATGCTCACTTCCCACGTCCCTCAGTGCCACATCTGTGTTCCTTGAGCACCTCCAGGAGCAGTGACTTCAAGATTCCCTGGGCAAACCTGAGTATTCAATAAATATTTTATGCTTTTGGTCTCTTAAAGAGGCACTGTTATAGTTTGTTCTCCTGTTCTCTGTTGTTTACAGAGTTGTGTATATATAATAGCAAGTGATCTGCTTTAAATACACATTTATCTCTTCTTTTTTGATTTGTACTATATAAATTGGCAGAAACTCTATTAGGAAAACTAGTCCAGTCCTTTCCCTTGATTAGCCAAAGTACTCTGTGGCTGTATAGTGTGCAGGGCTTCCTTTAACACTTGATTAATCACTGGGCGCAAATCTTCCTGAGCAACTAATCCATACTTTCCTTAGTAGTTTGCCCTCCCACTCGCAGCACATTGACTTGGTGGGATATTTACGCCTTTGTCTTTTCTTTCTCAGTTGACGTCCGAAGAAAAGAACTCTGCTGTGTGCTCTATTGAATTATCTTTCTTTTTGCTATTTCTCCGCAGTACATGAGTGAGTAATGCCCATACTGTGTGCAGTGCCTGGCTGGTGGGCACCTTGGCTTTGAGATGTTGCATCTTGACTGTTTGGTGCTTTACCAGAGTGTGGCAGGCTTTGGCCCTCTGTTGCCATTTTAACTGCCAAGTCTCTCAGGAGGCTTTGTCCTCTTTAGTAGCCTGCTCTAACTAAAACCATTTCCCTTCCTTATCTTTTGATTACTTTTTACATCGCTCTTCTTAATCTTCAAGTGCTTTCTGCATATACTTTTTTGCTTAAACAGGTGTATTGCTGAGAAGAAATATGGCATGTCAGTTTTGGCAGTGGTGATGTTGCAGAGACAAAGTGCAAATTGATTGTAAACGTCCAGAAATTAGAACTGTGCATGTTTTGGAAAGGAAGCAATCTGAGGAAAAAGATCAACATGTTCTTACAAGATTGTCCAAAGCTGTGCTCCTTAATTTACAGATGAGATCTGATCTCTTGCTTTCTTGCCTCATAATGTAAATTCAGAATTGGGATGCTAAATGGCATTGCATCCTTCTTATATCGATATAAATCAGACGAAAAGCTTTTGTGTTCATCCCCTAAGGAAGCTGTTTTGGGGGGAGAATACCTCTGAGAGCACCCAGTTGTAGGTTCTACTTTTGCTTTGCTTTTTTTGCAGTGTGTTGTTTGTTTTGATTTTAATAGGAAAAAAACAGAGGCCCTCTGATAGAAAACTTTGAATTTAACAGCATGGTGACTGATGCAGAATGTGCTTTGTTGTGTTACACTCCATACATGCATAAAATTAATTGCAGTGGATCCTGAAACTGCAGCATGGAAGAGATTCATCCTGAGAGTCACAAGAAACTGTCACCTCTTGTTCTTACTCCAATGGGAGATCTTTGCTGAGGGGATGGCAGTTAGGAGATGATAAAGAAGTCCATAACCAAGTCTATGAAACATTACGTGCAGTTTTACTAGTGGAGTCTGTTCTGCAGTTGATAGTAGCTTTGTGTTTGCGTGACTTGAAGCTGATGTGCTTGTGTGGGAGACCACTAATCCCCCATTTTTTCTTCTGAGACAGCTGTATTTCATACTCATCCATATTAGTTCTGGTTTCTCTCCTTCTCAATTGTGACTTCACATAGAGGTGAAGCTGCTTTTTTCTTTGAAATGAAAAATTGAACCTGTGCTAGATAACTCCTTTGGTTGCAGGAAACTAAATGCTGTTCCACGTCATGAAAGAGCCTAGCTCTTCACTTGAGCTTCGTGTAGTTAAACAGAATCTGCTTAACAATCACACAGTGGGAAATGGCCCATTATGCAGAACACACCTTCCTTGAGTTCTTGCTGTCATCACTGGGGCACTGGTGGAGCAGAGGTTTAAAAGTTGCATTTATTTGTCACGCAAAAGCATGTAGTGTTCTTGGGCTTAGGGATGTCTGGTATGAATTCTGAGAAACTGTTAACACACGTGTGCTTTGAGAAAAGCATGCTGTGCTGAACAGACCAGACTTCACTATACAGAAGGTATTCCTGCTAGCTAATGTGGAGCTGTGGTTTTTCTAGGCCTTCACTACTTGTTCTGGTTAGACGTTATTTTCCCCCCACTCAGTGACTTTTTTATTCTTTGGCTTTAGTACAAGGTGTTAGACAATACAAAACCTGAGGAAATGAACTGCTAAACCTCAAAATAGAACCTGATTTGTATTGTTGGTATCTCCCCTCCCACTCATCCTGATACCTTTTTGTTTTTGTGAGTTTCTCAGCCTCACTCAAGAGGAATAAAATTCCTTTTAATCACACACTAAGAGTTGTGGTGACCTGCAACGTTGAGAGATTAGAACCAAAAGCAGAACAAGCAAGCACGAAACAAATAACAAAGTAAGATAAAGAGCAGCTGTCATCCTAAAGTTTTCCTTAAGGTCAGCTGAGCCCAGGGGATGGATGGGAGTAGAAGAAAAGCTTTAATCTTGTAAACTTCACATGTTGTAAAGATATAGCTTCCTGGTACCTGAGCAAGAGAGAGTTTCACTGTGTTAAGTGGAAAATCTGCAACATTGAAAAAGGAATAGGCTGTTTTGAAAGGTAAGGGGGAAAGAGGGAGACTTGAAGGAGCAAAATGTTTGGAAACAGAATCATGAAAGGAACAATTCCAGGTACTGTGTGTGTCATTTGGAAGATGTGTGTTGATGCCAGTCCTTGAAGAGCTGGGCATTTGCAGACAGGCCTTGTTTTTCCAAAACTTCTGTTTTGGAAAAAAGGAGTTGAGCATGTTCCCTGTCCTCTTGTCCGCATGTTTTTCTCCTGTGCTGTCTTTTCCTAGTGTGCTGCAGTCAGTTCCTGACAGCCATCCCTCTTACCCACCTCTTTTTGTTGGAAAACCCTTGCTCCAGCCTCTGTGCTGATCCATGGGAAAGCCCTTACTGTGTAGGTGAGAAGTTGTCAGTGATGCCTCTGTGGCTGTTCCTTCTGCAAGTCCATCCTTCAAAGAAAAAAAAAAAAAAAAAATTCCTGCTAAAGATGGAAGGTTTCAAGTATGTTCAAGGCTGCTGCTCCCACTGGGGTTTGCACTTCATTGACCTTCTTCAGGCATTTGCTGATAGAACAGCTGCCTCTTGGATCCCTTTTTGGAGTTCCTTCCTTCTCCTTCAGTTGCTTTAATGCATTGACTTGTGAAGTTTTTTACAGAGAGCAGAACTTGTCCTGCTTTGAATAAGTAGTTCTGAAGCCACAAGGCTATTCCATTATTTATGTGGGGCAGTAAAAAAGATTGATACCATTACTATGTACATAGCTGTGCAACTTAAGCTTTTCTTTGACTTTCTAAGCGTGGTAAGTCTTTTATACAGCAGTATTCCAGAGCCTATTCTTTTGTGCAGTTATAAGCATGTTTTCTTTGGACTATAAATGGTGCTAGCCTCTGAACTCAGAGCATAGACTACAGATGTAAAAATGCTGTAGAGGCCATAGCTGTGATATGCCGTAGCTTGTTCTGATGTTAAGGGTTAAATGCGTTGGAATAGCCAGATTTGTCCCCATGCAGCAAGTTTTATCAATGCTGTTCTACTGAGGGTGATTACTTCTAATGAATACTAGGAATTTTATCTTCATCTTAGTCTGTTTAAAAAAAAAAAAAAAAAAAGAAGTGGAAATAATGAAGCTCAATACTGAAAATCTGGTTAGTTTTATTGCAAAAACCACTCATCCCCCAGATTAATGATTCAGGTTAACCTTTTACAGAGGCAGTCTAAATTTCCCTGTGCAAAGGATTAATGGAAACCACAGGAGTCATACAGCTGAGACCACACCTGGTTTTAAGCTTGATAGCTCAAATAATGGGCAGTGGGACAGCTGTGTATCCCAGTGGCAGGTTCTGATGTCTGACACTGTAGTGTCTGTTTTCTAGTTTTGCATGAGCCCTGGAGGGCTTAGCAAATAAAAGCTGTAAACCCAGCTCTAATTTCTGATCATCCATTCTGTTTCTTCCCATTATATAAAGATTAAAACAAAACAGAGCTCCTTAGTATATGAGGGTGAGAGTAGGTTTTGTGTTTTCAGTGGGTCATATAAGCCATATTATAGCAGCCTCTTTGGGAGAGCAGTGTTCAGTGGGTAAGGATGTCCTCAGCTTTCTGGGTTTCTCTGTCCTTAATGGAAAGATGTTCTCTATGCAGCAGTGTTTCTTGCACATGGAATCATCCAGTTGCTTTTCTGAGGCTGATGTGATGGGCCACTGAATTGAGCACCTGATTAATGTTGTCTTTTTTTTTCTTTTGCTTTTTCTCTGCTTTCCTTCTTCCTTTTCCTGCTTAACCCAGAAAAACTGATTGAGGGACTCAAATCTCCTGAGACTGCGCTTCTGCTCCCTGATATCCTGCCTCTTGCTGACCCTTTCGGTAGCACATCAGATGCTGTGAATGGTAAAAACAAAAGAAACCAATGCAGGGTACCTCCTCCTCCCCTCTGTCTGCCATAGCATGCCTTGTCCTGCATGCTAACTCTGCATGTTTACCCTCCTGGGCTCTGAAAACAGCTGCTGATGTTGGTGAAATGCAATGGTAAAAAGTTGCAGAGCTTGGGTAGAGGAGTGGTCATCACTGGCTGAAGAAGAAGCAGAAACTCTTCAGTTTCTGCAAAGGACTGTGTGTGTGTGGCTATTGCTGGACACCCAAATTGCCCTGCATCAGCCCTTGACAAGGGCTGTGTTGCCTTTGCTCTGTGATATATTGTGAGAGTGAATGTCCTGGGCTGCCACAAGCCTGGATGTGGCAGGCTGCAAAGCAGGTTGAAGGTCTGAATGTTGCAGAGTCGTATTTTGACCAACCTGCCAAATGCATTACAGAGTAATAATTGCAGGCTGCAGTTGCCTGCAGTCAGCTGCTCTGGTTTTGGGTCCAGGCTAGAATTCCTTGGTTGAAACCTTGTAGCTTTGAATGGAAAGGTAGGAAACAAGTTGCTTAACTGCAAGACTTCTCTTCTTCCTTTAGCAATTCCTGGCAGTTGTCTGAATTCTCTTAGAATGTGATCCTACAAATCACAGAGACTCACTGCTACGAAAATGTAAACGTTCATGGTTCTCTCTTAGGTTGCTCAGCTAAACCATTTCTAGCCCTAGCACTGGGGTGCATCTTTGTTCTTCAATTTCATTTCTTGGCTCATTACCTTGATTTTGGTCCTTGAGGAAGAGAAATGTTGTAGCTGGCTGGTGTGACTGTATTGACAGTCATCCTCTGTCTCTTCCCCTTCGCTTGAAGGATTAGATAAACACAAATCTTCCTATCCAGCCTCTGTGAGCATCTTCCTTTGTATCCATATATGGATATCGGTGTTAAGCAGACTGGTGTTTTCAGTAACATGTTGAGTTCCAAAACTTCTTACTTCTCACAGTGGACAGCAAACTTTGTTCCACAGAACACTTCAAAATGAAAAAAGATCCCACATTGTACACATGGCTGTGTACAAGCTTACCTGCGAGCATGCTAGGGGCTCACCAGTGGCTTTTTAATGTTGCAAGGAGACTCCTTAAAGGTCAGAGACTCCTTATCTGTTCCTGGAAAAGATCCTTGCTAAAGCTTATGATTGCTTATCTGGCTGCGGGACAGCCACTGTTAACCTCCAGTTTCAGCCTTTGGATAGTTCAAATTGGGCTTTTTGCATGTGTGCATGCACACACGCACACATCTCAAAACAAAATAGGAGAAACTCAGATGCACCAAACATGAGTGTGTGAATCTTCTATTGTAATTAAGTGAACGTAAGTCTGAGAGCATCTTGTTGCTCCCAGTGTAGCTGCCAGATATTAAAGGATCACTAAAGGATTCAGACATCTGTATTCTTGATTCTTACTTATGTGGGGTCTTGCAAACTAACCTCTGGCTTCTTCTCTGGTATTTCACACGTTTGGAAAGGAAAACCTGATGTAGCCGTTGAGAGCCTCATACCGGGCCTTGAGGCTCCACTGCCCCAATGCCTCGTGTCCCAGACTGAGTCGGTTGCTTCCAACAGGACAGGTGGGTGAGGCAGGAGGGACTGTGGGTGCACTGCACTGCGGGTGGGCTGTGGAACAGTGCTATAGTGAATCAGAAAGCACTGCCTGCGTGGACTGGAGCGTCTCTTCTCACTGCTTTTTCTTTACCAGTGTAAAGTTCACTTGCTTGTATGTTTTCTAAGTGGATGCTGCATGTTCCTTAAGGTTTCAATGGTACAGTGTTACTTCAGCCCACCATCTCGAAGCACTGGTCTGATGGACATGCTTTGAAACCTGGAGTATCACTTGTGTGGGATTTTATTGTCAAATACTCTGCTTCAGAGAACAGTTAGCACCAGAGAATCTGTTATATGTTGTTAAAGGTGTGGGGAATCCCTCTGCCCTGAGCACAGAACTGTAAGATATTTTCTGTTACAAAAAATGCTTAGTGCTGGCTTTGCTTCAGTGTGTTGTACGCTAAACGGATGGGAATAGGAATGTGCCAACATGAGCTTAACGCTGTCTGTGTCTTGTTCTGCCTGGCTGCCTTGGGATGCTAACCTGGATTCAGACTCTCTCACTGGGGAAGATTCTCTCCTTGACTGTTCTCTGCTTTCTAACCCTGCTGCTGACCTCTTGGATGAGTTTGCTCCTGTGGCTTTTACGGCTCAACCTCACAAAGGTAAACTGTTCCTTTTTGCCTCTAATCCTCACCAGCCCCGGGACTGGGTCTTTACTTGATGTGAATTGAGAAGCTGATAGCAGTTTGTGCAAGCAGCTGCTATGACCCGTGTTTTGGTGGTGGTTTTTTTCCATGCCATTGCTTTGTTTTCTTCCCGAGCCAGCGAAACTTGTAATGCTTATGAAAGTACTAAGGGGATAGACTGAAGTGTTCAGCCTGATTGTAGATACGGAGGGGTGGTATTTTTTACAATACAAAGCAAAACAGTGAGTTTATTAGGCAGGTAGGCTTTTGTGTACAACCCTTCTTCAGGTTTTTGAGTGAGTACACTCTCATTTTGCCATTTGCACATGTGATCTGATGCCTTGATGCTGCAAGGCAAGTGAGCCTGATAAGGACCTATTTTGATGTCAGAGGTTTCTGAAACTAACTGAACATGTCTTGTTTGTCAGTGTTTGTCTGTAGCATGTGATTGAGCGCCTTCAGATCTGGAGGCTGTTTACATTTTCAGAGGTTATCAGGAGGAGGCTCTCCAGTCAGACCGCAGTGTCTCCACAAACATGAATGAGAGTCTTAAGTGCACCATCCAGCTGAAAAATGTTAGGATTGTACACTAACACAAAATAGCAGTGTGGAAGAGCTAGAGGTGGTGTGTGATGATTCCTAAGAGTAAAAGCTCAGCTTTTATATGGCTGATAATTTGGGCTTATAGGGGAGTTATCGAAATACTGTGCTGTGGTCTGAGTTCTGTTCCCTGTCCCAGCCCTGGGAAGTCATCTTCAATTAGATGACTTTTCTCCAGGCTGCAGAACATCCAGCTGAAATCTGGGCCCTGTCTGTGGTGTAGCTTCAGCAGTGGCACTGGAATAGTTTGAAGAGCTCTCAGCTGGTGTGACATGCATGGTCAGTTCTTCCTGCTCTGTTCTGGCACTCTGATGGGTTAAAGCAGTTGTGAACAGTGTGTGTGTCCCTTGAGGACAACAGCAAATGTCAGCAGACTCCAGCAGCCATGCTTGGAGTGAATACTGGGAGCAGGACTGGGACTTCTGTTATATCTTTTGCCTTGAGAAGACAGAGCTAGAACTTGAATGCCAGGGCTGAGCATCCTTTTCTTTGTACTTCTCTGGGCTGTTGTGTTTTAGGGGTGTGGTGGTTTTGCTCAGCTTTCTTTAACTTGCGTTTCCCTGAATAGCTTCTTGTGCACCAAACCGCAGAGGTATGAGCAGTAGTTATAAATGAAGTGAGATGGAAATAGGATGCTTGCAGAAGTTCCCTGGTGTGTCCTAAAGAGCCATTTTAACTCCAGAGACACTGATGACAAGACATTCTGTTAAGATGAAATGTCTAACACTTCACAGCCTAATCTTCTGTAAAATCTATATTCTTTTCCTGAATCTGATCCTCTAGAGGACAGAATACTTCTACAATTGGCTCCTTGCATCACCCAAAACTTGATAGTGTATTTGTCAACCTCTGGTAGAGAACTTCTGTTCATGATCTCATAGCAGTGCTCCTTTTCCTTGAAAACCATTGATTTGTACATGTCCTTGCTGTGCTTTCAGAAGTACTTCAGGTAGTAGCTGAGAAGCAGACTTTGGAAGGTATTTTAGACATCTGAAGAAACTAGTAGTGATGTAGGAAGTGTGGAAGTCCCTGAAGGTCCATAATTGCTTGGTAAGGCACATCTGTGGCTGATCTGCTGCGGAGGTGACTGAAAGCCTCTTACCAAGGATCTAATTCCTGTTCGGGTGGCTTAAAACAAGTAGAATTACATGCCAGAACTGCTCTAGATGCCTTTAAAGTCTCTCTGGGTGTCTAGTTACATCTTAGATTCCTTGGAAATCTGACTTTTACATTGAATTTGTTTTTACCCTGTGGGTGAAAATTTGGGAGTCTTGCCTTGGGTAGATGACTGGAATTCCTTCTGTATCTTTTTCCAGCCTTTGTCTTCTCTCTGTGCATGAGAGCTGGTAACTGGAGAGCCCCATCACTATCAAACTGCACTATATCTGATGGCCACAGGATGATGTTCACCATAGCACTGAGCTATGCTGGCTGTTGAGCCTTTGAACTGGCTGAACTTGATTTTGATTCTCATGCCTTGCCTTTTGGTTCAAGTTTTGGGGCTTTTTTCCCCCTCTACTTTCATATTTAATTGGCTCTTTTACTTCTTACCTTCTTTACCAAAGACTTACCAACTTTATTTCACATTTTAAATGAAACTCTGCTTATAAACCCTGTCTCTGAAAGCATTAAGATACTCTAACACTTTTTGGCAATTCTAACCAGCTTTCTCTGCTATCTTTGCTTCTATACCTCTGTTTCTCCTTTATGCTGCAGAAGATACTAACCTGATAGCAGGCTTTGATGCTCCTGAGGGCTCTGAAAAAGTGACAGAAGATGAGTTTGATCCAATTCCAGTGTTGATATCCAAAAATTCACAAGGTAAGCCAGGATTTGGGTGTGGAAAAAGGAAAAGAAAAGCAGAAACAATGAACATAAATTCTGGGGCAGTGGTGTTGCAGCATGAAATAATGCAAATCACAAACTATAAAGGCATAACCACTGCGGTATTTAGTGAGCTCAGTCTTTCTCTGATTTGTATTTGCCCTGAAGTGTCTCTAGCTTCTTTATTTGTGGAAAAAATTCCATGGCCAGAAGGAGATATAGACTTACAAGCACCTTTAGGTCCCATGAAGTAATTCCTACCAGTCTGCCAGGCAGGGCACACCAGTACCTCTGTCTAAAATATGATGCCAAACTCTTATTCTCTGAGCTTTTTACTTACTGTTCAAGCCAGTAGAAGGAGAAAGTCAAGTTGGCATGATGCACAAGAGAGGGAAGTGATAATAATCATTTAAGAACCATGAGACTCCTGCTGAAAGTGAGTTTTTCATTTCTGATTGATGATTTTCAAAGGTGCTTGTGGGAACTGAGGGTAAAAAGTCTGGTAGATGGTACCCATCTCCTCTGAAGAGCTTTGAATGTTCTTAGTCCTTAGGACACAAACTGGAAGGATTGTCCTTTTGTAGCATTCCTCTTACCTACCATGTATTAATGTGATCTTTGCAGACAGCTGTAGCATTAAGTAAGGTTGAAACCAAGAAACAGTACTCTTTCCCTAAGACAAATGATTCTGCTGAGTAGGCTAGTGTTTTGGAGTATGGCCAGCCAATCAGATGGATCTTCTTTGTGCAGTCAAGCCATCAAAAGGCTTTACCAGCTTTTGGTGTGCTTGCATAGGCTTGGAAACGTATAACAGAGCTCCTTTTGTCTGATTATATTTTTCAGTTTTGTGGAACTTTTTTTTGACTTCCCTAACTGCCATTTTTGTTTACAGCACGAGTGTGCTGTACACCTGCTCTGCATCTAATGCTAGCTTCCAAAGACTGATGCTCATTAGGAAATGTTCTCAGACATTAGAAACTCTGCTCCAGCTGGAAGTCAGAGAAGATTTCTACCAAAGTTGGGCCAAGATAGGCTACCTTGAATAAAAAAGAGCATCTTCCCTTCAGTGTCAAAGCACCACTTATAAAAAGCTCAAGTCTCCCTGAAGTGGTTGGAAACTCAAAAGATGCTCTTAAAACAGCAACTAATTTTCAAGACGTATAACTGAACAATTCTTTGCATTGAGAGTACTTGTAATTATGTTTTAGATCCTGTAGCAAGGACAGAATTCTGCAGCTTAGATGTAAACTGGGGGAAAATAAATGGTTAGTAGAGATTCCCCTTGGCAGACAAGCTGCTGTGATGTTTTTCCACACAAGTCTAGCAAACTAGATTTGGGTGGGAGGGAGAGGGTGGAAGAGCAAGCAAAGGGAATGTTGTTGCTATCGTGATGCAAGTAATGAGAAGAGCTTGAGTAAGTTTGATGTTTTGCATTTTTTTTTTTTTCTTGCTTGCTCTTGAACATCTGAATCTGTCATGTGTGTGTCCTGTTCAATACTGAATTCCTATCTCTCACACTTTCAGGTGGGCATTCTAGAAACAACAGTGGAAGCTCTGAGTCCAGTCTTCCCAACATAGCCAGGTCTTTACTGCTGGTGGATCAGCTCATAGACCTGTAGCAGTGACACAGTAGCAGACGCGGTTTCTGTAACGTACCTAATCTTCCGCTTTCATTTCCAGAGGAGTTACCTTCAGTTGTGGTTCTTTTTGTTGTGTTGTTTTTTTTCTCCTTAATTCAAAGAAAAACAAATCTGCCAACAGGAGACAGTCACCTACATTTCTCCTTGTCTTCCCATGCCCCAGGAAAGATTCTGTCTCAGTTCTCCAGGTAGTCCTCTCTAAAGCTGGTAAAACAAACAAACAAAAACCTGCTGTGTGGTTCCTTTTGCACCTCTCTGCTAGCCTGTGTCTAAAGGGAGCACCATCATTAGCCACCCTGCTGAGATGTACACATAGCACCATGGAAAGTCTGACTATAACTGATGTAGATAACTGTAGCTTATGTATGATCCCTGTTGTATAACAGACTCCTTTCTCCTTAGAGTAGTGTGTAAAACTGTGTTTCGATCTTTGCATTTGTGTTTCTGGGTTTGTTTGGGATTTTTGTTCTGTTTTTTTTCTGATAAACGGGCGGGAGGAAGGGGACAGGTAAAATTGGTAGGGATGCCCCTCTTCTGCAGAGTGCAGGTTAAGAGAGCTGGTGTTTCTCAATTGCCAGTATATGCTTCAGAGGAGGAAAAAGCACTGAATTCTCCTGTAGTAGTCTTGCTTAGTACCTCTGGTGATGGTGCATATGAAGAGAGTTTTCTGGTCTGCCCCCAGCTTGTGGTTTGCTGTTTAACAGTCCTGCTTTTGAATGGACTGTGCTTCTTGGGATGTGGGGGGGAGAAAAAAAGGGGGAAAAAGAAAGAAAAAAAAAAAAAAAAAAAGGGAAAAAAAAACAACAACCCATCAGATTGTTAAAGCTGTAAAAATGATTCTAAGTGAAATATAACAAGATTTTGAACCAAATATATGTAAGTATGGCTGTGATTAGCTTTCTGTTGGTTGACTTTTTTTTTAGGCTGAAAAGGGCATTGTGGCAGCAGCAGGTGTATTTTCTGTGACTATTTCTGTGTTTGACTGGAAAAAAAAAATCCCCCTCACAACCTACTATAAATTGTGTATGAAACAAATTGTCCTACAGTTGTTTGTCTATTTTTACTCCTGGTTTTAGTTAAGCATCTGGTATCTGTTCTGGGTTCCCCATTTTCTCTTGTAATGCATATAGTGCAAACCAGTTAAGTATGGACCCTTTCTCTTTCTGTAGACAAAGATGACTGTGGACTTTATTTCGCTCTTTGGTATTTATGGATCAAGCATGCACTGGTTCAGATGGTTTGAAATAAGTGCTGCTACAACTCGATGGGTTTTACCTTTTCTTTTTCCCTTTACATGCTTAATTTGTCTACTGGCTGGGTATGCTCAACTTGTTTCCATGGACTTACGGTCATGAAGTCCGGAATTTCTATCTTGTATTTGAAAGCTCTTTCTAAACAGAAGGACTCTTCCTCTGTAGTGGAATTATTAATAGCTTACTGCTAACCTTGTGTATGTGTATGTAGCTGTATTAGTAAAAGTGCAGTTTCCCATGTGTGGAAGTATGAACGACTGAAATGTGTGTGACCTCTCACTAAGAAGGAGAGAAATCCAAGTTTGTGACTGCTCCTTTCCTATCTCCAGTGTCTCTGCTATTTCCCCCTCCTCAGCACTTAGTTTAACAAATTCTGTACATAGAACTTCCATCAATCGTGTCTGCTCTACATTACTCTTCTTTTAAAACCTACACTTAATAATAAAAGTATTGCTTAAGTGTGTTGTATCATTACACGTGTATAATGCACTTTCCAAGAGAAGCTTTACTTGAGAACTATGGAAATGACCTTAGTAAAATTGTGGATAGAACTTTATTATTTTTTTGTTTTATATTCCTAAAGCACAGGCAAGCTGGACTGGAAAACATGAAGATGTTATAGATAGAAAGTTATTGTATAGTCAGATATTGAGAATATATGAAAAGAGAATGGATTTTAAAAAGTAACCATCTACTGTATATTAGAAACAAATTTCTGTGAATTAAAGTACTTTTAAAGAATGTTTAAGATTTTAAATCTAATGGCACTTGTTCAAGGGTTCTGGAAAAATTATAAATGCACTGGGTTGTTAATAATGCTATTAAATAAGCAGATGTGAATGTTCATTTTATTGCTTTTTCAAGTAGCTGTTTGTGGAGCTGGGTGGGGAATACAGCACAACAGAAGCACGTGTGTTTAGAGATTTTGGCTAAAGCCGCTGTGTCAGAGAAGACTCAACACTGACTTGCTAATTGAATGAAAAATGCAAGAAATGGGAAAGGTGGGGGTGGATATATGAGGTTAATTTTAAGCTCTCCAAAAAGTGATTGTTCTAGAAGCAATAGGTCAGTAATGGTGTGCTGCTGAGGAGTTTGTGTGAAAGCTGCTGCTGTGAAGGAACACGCTGAGTTTTCATCCAGTGTCCACATGAGAGAAATTTGGTACCGTATCCTGACGTAGTGTAAAAATGGTTCTTTTACAATGGTTGCAGCCTTGTTTGGAGCTGTGGGAAATGTTTCCTCCCTCCTTTCAAGGGTTGTAAGGTGTTGTTTGTAGTATGAACCTGCAGTCTGCAAAGAGCAGCAGAGTGATTATGTTCTGTACCTTTTATTCACGTCAGGGTAATGGAGGAGACTTCCTGCCCCACTAAGCTTTAGCTTGTCGTGCCTTTGTGCACTTTTTGGCACTGGTGGTTTTGATGGATCCTCCTGGTGCTTCAAATGCAACTGCAGTACACAAAGCAATTTCCCTTCAGCGCAGGGTTATGGTCATGATGCAAGAATAAACTGTTTTTATGGTGGTTAAATTTTATATTGGAATAGGGCAGGTAGGTCTCAGCAGTAGATCTGGTCTCTGACTATCTACTGTCAGCTGCAGCTGCAACCAAACCAGGCTGTTATGGCTTCCTCAATTCTGCCTGCCCCATCATCACTGGGCTCCTTGCAGCTTGGTGGAACAGGAGGTGAATGAAGGACTGGCCCGTGCTGCAGGCATTGTGCATCCTGACAGCTTAGGTGTGCTGCAAAGTCTGAGAGCTGGCTGCAAGAGGCTTGACATCTGAGCCTTTGTGGCAGACCCACTGCATCTAAATCTAAGTGCATGATAATGGCCATATTTATACTTGGAAGGGCTCAGGAGGTTCTGTTTCCAGTGTGTTCTTCAGCCTGAACCCTCACAGGGTATAGTCTCAGTGGCTTTCCTAAGCCGCCTGGTTTTTAAAAAACTTGATACATTTAAAAAAAAAAAAAAAAATCATGTTACTGAAATTGATGCTCTTCAGACCAAAGGCAGTCAAACAAGTTTTGGAGTAACCCAAGGAAATGCACAAAGTGGTATGAAATGGTATGCTGCACAAGTACTTTGAGTGTGTGCATGCGTGACTGTGTAAAGTAAGCTAATTTCTTGTTAGCCAATACAGTTCCTGCCTAGTTCAGAACTCTCATATATAGCAGTTGGTATATATGGCCTCATATATAGCAGTTGGCCTGGATTTTAGGGAGGAGTGAGTGTAACATAAGGGAGAGCTCTGTGAGTGAGGCTTATTAGTCTGCTCTGCTGCTGTTGGGTCAGAATCGTTCCTGTGACGACTTTGAGGTGTGGATGCTGCACATTAACACTGCACTGCTCTAGTACAATACACAGAAGGGGGGGAGCTCACTTTCTTCCTGCATTTTTCTTGCAGTTAGTGAGTGCAGGTGGTGCCCTCAGATTCCTGCCCTGCCCACTTTGCACAGTTGTTTGCACTATGCAACGTGTGCCAAAACCAGAGCATGAAATCTCTTATTTCTGGAAGTGAAGGACACTGGAGCTGCTCCCCCTGTGCTATGCAGCAGCTTTGGGTAAAAGTGCTTCATTTTGCTGCCTGAATTGTCCAGTGATATGGGAAGGGTGCTACAGAGCTTCAGCTTTTGGTGGTTTGCTATTTCAAGAATGAAGGAATGAGAAATTTGTTAACCTTTTTTAAAGGTCAAGCTAGTAATCTTGCTTAGTAGTAACTGCACAGGTTTTTTAGCTGCCTGTTACCATGTGTTGTTGAGACCTTCCTGTCTTCAGCCAGATAGACTTACTTGTTTGGTTGAGAAGCAGCATTAGGCTCCAGGAATGTCTCTGCCTTCCCCTAGTGTATAGGGCTCAGATCCAAAAGTGAGATCATCTCAGTGGCTCCTCTGCCTCCTTGCAGCCCCTGTAAAAGGGAGAGGAAATGTTTTACAGCTCACCCATCAGCTATTTCAGTACCTTGTCGCTTCTGGTGCTTCCTATGGAAGGCAGGAATCTTGTGTGTCAGTGTTATAGCTCGGGTTTAAGTCGTGTCTTCGAGTTGCTCTCTGCATGTGGGATTGTAACCTATTTTCTGGGGCTTTGCAGGCAATCTGGAAGCAGAAGCTTTGCTTCCCATGCCTTTTGTATGGCAGGGTGTGCTCAGGTATGCCAAGGTGGGTTTGTCACTGAGGTTTTCCCTTAGTAATAAATCTGTGCCTGCATACAATTGGGGAATTGCTCCTTTTTCCGGATAATTGCTTTGTATCTAACTGCAGAATAAAAACAAATGTACTCAAACATCTGAACGTAGGAGGTTATGGGTGGAGAGAGGAAAGGTCTGAGCCATTGTCTGATCAGATGTGTGCCCAGCTGAAGTGAAATGCTGGCACTATAGCAAAACTGTTTGAGTATTCCAGGCTTTTCTCACTTATGATGGGCAGGAGAGTAAGAAAACAATGGAATTTTTTTTCCCCTCAAAATAAAGCATTTTTGCCTGTCCTACAGTGCCTCCAGATTTGGAGAGGCTGCTGCTGTCCAAAACCAACCTACAGCCTGTCGACCCTTCTCTTACTCTGTCCCAACTGTCATTGCTTACATGAATATAGGCACAACCAATGCAAGCAGCTCTTTAAAAGGAAAATCCTATTCAGATGACTTGGTTCCCCAGTTCTTGTGATAACTGGATCATTGGTTTGCCATATTCTCTATGATAAATGCGTTTTTCCTTTTCTTGTTTTGTGAATGCTGTGTTTCAGTGAAGGCTGGGTTAATGCAGAGGCATTTGTGTGGTACGGCAATGGGTCTTGCTCTGTTTCTCCCTGTAAGCTCAAAATCCCTTGAAAATACCTGGTGACATATAACCTGGAAGAAGAAAACACTATAGACATATCCTGTTATCAAACTGAGCTTAGCATCTAAGGTTAAGCCATTGCTGGCAACGTGGGCTTCAGGAAAGATTGATAGTATTTTTGTAGAGTAACTTACAGAATGTTCACGTATCTACACTGTCTTTACTTAGCAGTGTAATGTATCAAAGTGAATAGTTTCCCAATAAATAATGATTTTGATGCCTAATGAATGAGTGCTGTGTCTTTAATTGAGATGTGGCTAAGGCTGAGTTAACTTTGTCAAAAGATATGTAAATCTAAACCACTAAACAGGGCAGATTAATGTTATTATGGGGACATGACAGTGCTGTTTTGTCACCACAGGGGTGGTTGGGTAGAGCCTTGTTGGTCAGTGGGCACTAAACCACCTCCCTTGTTCTTCCTGCAATTCGTACTGCTTAGATCTCACGTGCTTTTTCCTATCCTCTTGCTAACATGAGTCCAATGACATACTCCTAACCTGGCAATAGTTCTTTGAAGGTAAGAGATCTTCTGTTCTGTCTGTCGTGAGTCTTGAGGCAAAACCAACCCCCTCTTGGGCTCCTGTAGCTGGAGAAGAGCAGTACAGCAAGCACTGTCCTATTAAACCAGCAAGAAGCCAGCCAGATTGGTATAGCGATGTTAGCTACCTCATTTGCAATCGTGGTATGGGTTGTTTAAAATCACTTGTCTTGCAGTGGTTTAAAATAGTGCTGCTATAGTTACCAGAATTCACCAAAAGCTCTAGGCTGACATTTAGCAGATTGGAAGGCATCTCTGCCTGTTCTCTGTGCCTGGGTGCGATTCCACATAGCTGTGGGCTGGCTTGCACCAAGAAGCAGTGCGAAGCTGTGCATCTGCTGGTAGGACGCTCCTGTGTTGATAAGCAGAATAAAACAACAAGAACTGGGGCCTCCCACTAGGCAGCAGTGTGGCAAAGTCCAGAGCTCTCTGGTTGTGGTTGTGAGTGGCACAGAACTCCTGTGGAGCAGTGCTGAGTGTGCCCATTTGTCTGTCAGACATCTCCCATCTCCTGAATCTCCCTGAGCTGTTAAGCGGTGCTGATCTGTGTCCCTTTGCGTGCAGTAAATACTCTCCCTGGCATTTTGATTTTATTTAATTTACACTCTCTTTTCCCTTTTTTTCCATGTGTGGTGGTGGTTTAAATCTGAATATCATTACATTTCTTGTGTGCTAAGTACATCTCATCTTTCTTTGCAACTTACTGAGTGATGCTTTTTTTTTTTTTCTTTTTCATTTTTAGGTCTGCAGAGGGATCCTGCCCTGTTTCCAGCTGTACCTCTCGATCTCTGCAAAGGTCCCACTGCCAGCGATGGGCTTGCTTTGTACAAGACTCAGCCAGAGGTGAAAACGCAGACCAGTGCTGAGTTCGACTATGCCACACGTGATGGCCCTTCAAGCAACAGCTCCTTCTACAGTAGCGAAGGTGAGGGGACAGACCACGAAGGGGACATTCTGGATTGCAGTGGCTCCAGGCCTTTGCTGTTGGATTCGGAAGAGGAGGAGGAAAGCTGCAGGCCGGGTGTGGGCTTCCTGCAGGCCGGGCCCAGGGAGAGGAGGGACATTTCCAGGGAGCAGCACCCCCACACGCAGGCCGCGGAGACACCGTTCCCTGCCTTCCAGTCGCAGTCTGGGGAGGTTTTTAACGAACCTGATGTCTTTGCCACAGCTCCTTTCCGCAGCTCCAGGAAAGCACCCGATGAGGCAGATGTCTTCACCAAAGCTCCTTTCATCTCCAAGAGCAGTGCGGCTCTCCGACACTCAGAGGAAGCAGATGTGTTCCTCAGAGCCCCTTTCACCAAAAAGAAGAGCATGGAGGAGTTGTTGTCTCACAGTGTGCCCAAGGAATCGCACGTGTTCCTCAGCCCAGCAGCTGATGTCCAGCACAGAACCACCCCTGCGTTCCAAAGCCTGGATGCGGTGGTCTCCGGGCCATTAGCAAGGCTGCAGTATCCTTCCGGCTTTGGTCTGCTGAGCAACCTTCCTCCTTCTGTGAGAGCAACAGAGGAGCACAGCCCTCCTCCAGCCATGCAGCTGGAACCCGGCGAGCGCAGCCCAGCCCAGCCCAGCCCTCAGGAATGCATGCTGGGCCCGGTGGCGAACAGTCGGCCTTTCCGTCCGCAAGCCTTGTCCAAGTACTCCCGTCACTACAGCCCGGAAGATGGGCCTGGTCTCGACGTCCAACCCATCGCTGCTTACAAAGTGGTTTCTCAGACCAACAGGCAGGCCATAGCAGGCTCTGTCTCCCTTGCCCCACTGGCTGCCAGGACTACGGAGCTGCCCGCAGCCGATCCTTTTGCTTCAGCACCATTTCCTTCCAAAGCAGCAAAGCAAAAGCCTTAATGTGCTGTGAGCTGGGGGTGTTCCCAGCAGAACACTTCCCACAAGACCTCAAAACTCTTTGTCGAATTGGTTGGCATATATTATATATGTATGCCAACACATATATAATTTTTCAGTCAGAACTCTATTTGCAGTGATATAGTAGAACCGTTTAGAACCGTTTTAAGTTATGTTAGCTAGTCGGAATGCCTGGCTCTCAGGATCCTCATATCCTCTTCAGTTACTTCTTTTCTTCCTCCTCTCACTGCCTTCCCCAAGTTATTTTGTCAGCAATATGCCATACCTTCTGGCTCTGACTAGGGAAAGGCACTGTAAGGTTAATTAACTGGCATTTTAATTACAGAGCAAGTCAAGTGGGACTGGCTGGTGCTATGGCAAGGAAGCTATTTCACAGGTTCAGGGCTTATAGAGATTTCCCATTAGTTGGGGCTTCTGGAGGACAGCAAGGTGACACTTCTTGCTGCTGATGGTGACAGTGAGCCTGGCAGCTCCAGGGTATGTGTGTCATGCATGAAGTCAGTCAGTGTCTTCTGTTGCTTGTCTTGCTCTGCTCTGTTGCAAATGCTCCAGATTAGGAATTAAAGCTGCAGGAAAGAGATCTGTTGGGCTGTTACATGGAAAATTAAAAGATCAAGAGTGTGGGATTTCCCCGAATGTAGGACCCAGAAATCTGCTTTTGGTGTTATAGAGTATGTGAGTATGTAAGTCCTGTGGAAAAGCGTATTGTGAAGACACCTAGATGGCTTTCCTGGTCTGTGTGTCTCACTTGGTGTAATTTGGCCTTGTCTGCAGTCTGGTTCAGCTGGTAGATGCCAGCAGAGAGCTTGACTTTGGGTTTATCATTTTGACCTTTTATCAACTAAGATGATCTCCAACAAAATCTGTTCATGCTCCTCTGGGAATATTTGGTGTTCTTTGGATATCTTGTGCTTCCTGCTGTGTTCCCAAAGAGAAAGGCAACTTGTTGCTGATTGTTCTGCCTTTGGAGCAGAATCCTGATGCTGTGTTTGGTGGAAAAATAGTGCTATCCCTGGCCAGCAAAGGCTGTAAGTGTGGGCTGCTTTCAGGTTATCTAGATGTGGGGGCTCACAGTCGCTGTGTGGTGTTCCTGTGTCAGGCATTGGTGCTGCAGGATGTCTCCCAAGAAAAGTGTTTCATTTTCATTTTCAAGGGCTTGACATCTGGGGAAGAATCTCTGTTGACTCTGGTAGTTTCTACTGAATGCCTTAGAAACTTTGCAGTGTCTGTTTCCTGAGGGAATTTGATCCTCATCCTGTTAGGTCAGAGCTTTGCACTGAGGATTGAGGGCAGAATTCCCTTTTGCTGAATTATGGCCAGCAGGAAGGGGAGGGTGGAAAAGCCCCAACCAGCAGGAGGTGGAGAGCAAAGCACAAGTAGAACCCCAATCTCGGTTTCCCTCCAATATCTCCAGTTGCAAGAGGTGAGCCAGTGCTGCTGCTGGATGTGTTCAACCTTGGGATTGCTGGAGGGCAGGGAGAAGTTGGGACACCTGAGAGCAGGAGGGCTGTCAGGGTGCTGTTTTCCTGTGATCCTCCACCAGTGGTAGTAGCAGTAAATACTGTAGGGAGATTTCTGGGTTCCATGGAGATGTTTTCAACTAAGCTGAGGCTGTTGTTGATGGTGTTTCCTTCTCGTTGGGTTTTCCCATTCGAATATATCCCCAAAAGTGCAAGGCATTGCTATGTGCAAGTTCAAGGTATTAGCTCTGCTAACTGGATTTAGGTTCTCTGCTTTTCTTCAGTTTTTACTTGAAAAGTTGCCTTTGAATCAATCTGTGAAACTTCCTACAAGGTCACATCCAAGTTGCACTTGAGAAAAATAAAATAAAATTTAAAAGTAGCATAGCTGGAGAAGCATTCACCCACTGTTCAGCTCTTGCCCTTCAGACCTTGCTGCCCTGCACTGCCACAGGATGAAGGGACAGAGCGCATTCAAGTTGAGTTGGGCTGGATTTCCAGCTGGGATTTTGACAGTGGATATTCTGCAAGCACTTTAAACAGTGCCCCACAAGCTAACAAGCCTGCTAGCTTCAATGGTTTTACGTGTACTTTTGGGGTTAGAGGCAGCTTGTTTGCATCTCTGCCTGTGACTTATTAAGGAATGGGACTTATGGTTGCAGTCAGAAAACTGAATTTCAGTACAATTTTTTTCTGTATAGCATTGTCGTTTCTAATCTCCCGATTCTGCGTGGCCAGTATGGCAGCTTTAGCATGATGGATTATAATCCAAAATTTCATTTCTGTATTATGAAGCTGTTTCTAATGAAGGTGGAATGATTGTGCTTATAGTTTTCTTTACCACCTTACTGGTGCTGTTAATTAAATGAGCCTGGTATGGCCTAAATGCAGCATTTTGGGGTCAATTTTCTGAACAAAGCCACTGGTTCCACCTGTCCAGAGCTGTAGCATATCCTGCTCTGGGACCTCAGAACACACCTTGGTCCTGCAACAATCGTAGACACAATTCTTCCTCATCGCCAACTGAATGTCAGCAATGCACTTAAGACATTAATCACAGTATCTGCATGCGAAAACAAAAAGGAAGAAGCATCATGCTGGGCTCTCCATGCCTCACTGCCACATTTGCACAACAGCATGGGGCTACTGAAGCTCACCTGTGGGAATGGTGTGCACAGAGCTCACAATGCATCAGCAATCATCCTCAGTGTCACTCAATCAGGCACGGCCAAGTGAGATCTGTTTAATTGTTGAATTCTCTATCACTCCAAAGTAGGAATTGGTTACTTTAACTCAGCTTCCACCAAAGACTTTTGTGTTGGGGAGTTGAATTTTTTTTTTTTTCTCTGTGTTCATGGTGTTAATTTAAGGCCTTTCAGTACACCAAAAGACTCCAAAGCATTCTTACAGCAGGTATCCTGATGGTGAAATCTTGTTCCTCTTCTGAAACACATTCCTGAAACCTGATCCAACATGTCAGTATTCCTAAAATTATGCCACAGCCCGAAATTTCCGTTGGCCATCATGTTGTTCTTGTCTGGGGGCTGGTGATGTCCTGGGGTCTCCTGTATCCATCTTAGGGGCTGGAGATGTTCTGGTGTTCCCAGTCCCATCCTGGGACTGCTATGTGGGGTCCTCAGGTCCTATCCCAGGGCTGGTGATGTCCTGGGGTCCTCTGGCCCCATCCTAGGGCTTGGTGGTGGCTGGAGGTCCCTTGTCTTCATCCTTGGGGTTCTTCTGATCCCATCCTGGGGCTGGTGATGTTCTGGGATCCCCTGTCCCCATCCCAGGGACTGGAGGTGTTCTGGGGTCCTCTGGCTTCATCCTGGGGCTGGCTGGGGGTTTCCTGCTCCCCTCCTGGCGCTGGTGATGCCTAGAGTCTCAGATTTGTATGGCTGTGGCTGGAAATGGACGGAGTTGTGTTGTTGTTCTGGGTGTGATGTCTGTGTTCCTGGTAATCACTATGAAGAAATGTTCAAGCTGTAAACTTCTGTACATTTATTAAAGCTGTACCTGATTACAGCACGTTGTCCCTGTGCTGTCCTTCTCTGTGTGCAGAATTTGGAAATAAAAGGTAAAAAGGGCAATATTGAGGGGTCGGGGGGATGGCATTGAAGGGAAAAGGAAATATTGAGGGGGAGAGATAAATAGGAAAAAATGAAATTTTCATAGAATTGAAGTTGAATAGAGTTGAAAGGGACCCTCACAGGTCTTTCAGACCAACTCCGAACGTTGACTTAAATTAAAAAGAAGAAACTTGAAAAAAAGGAAAAAGTGAGGGGAAAAGAAATGATAAATTGAGGAAATAAAGAAGTATCGAGAGAAAAGGGGGGAGAATGAAATACTGAGAGGGGAAAAAAAAAAAGAATACAAACATAAAAAAAGGAAATACAGAGGGACAAAAAGGAAATGGAAAAAATGAAATATTGAGGGGAAAATAGGAATGCTGAGGGAAAAGATTGCAAGGAAAAAGAGGAAATACGGGGGGGGAACGACACTATTTTTTGCTCTCAGGGTGAGTGGCTGTCCCTGACACCGCGGCGGGGCGCTCGGAAAGAATCAAGGGAGCTGCAATGGCGCTGATGGGCGCGGGGGGCGCCGCCCAGGCGTGTTCCCGCCCGCGAGAGCCTCTGTCGGCCTTGGCCGCCAGGGGGCGCTGCAGTGCGCGGGGCGGAGCGGCGGCCCTGAGGAGCGCCAAGATGGCGGCTGCGCGGTGGCTCGGCGCGGCTGCGGGGCTGGGCGGCCGGTAGGTGACTGCGAGCACCGGGCTGCCCCGGGCCGGCGCACGGATCCCAGTGTGCGACCCTCATACTCGTTCCCTTCCTCTCTGAGCTCCCTGGGGCGCTCCGAGCTTTCTTGGCCTTCCCCTTCCCTGACGCAGCGGGGCGGATGTGGGTGAAGTTACGCCCTCCCCTTCCTCCTAGTTACAGAGGGGGCAGTGAGGGCTGCTCCTCCCGGAATGCCCTCTGGGGTGTAAAATGAGAGCTCATCTCCCAAAAAACGCCCTCAGGAGCTGTAATGAGGGGCTGATACCCCCCGAAATGCTCCCAGGGGTGTGCAGTGAGGGCTGACCCCTCCCAAAAAACACCCTTCGGAGCTGCAGTGAGGTCTCATCCCCCCAAAAAATGTTGTGCAGCGTATGCTGATCCCCGCAAAATGTGCTCAGGAGCTGCAATGAGTGCTGATCCCTCCCCAAAACACTTTCAGGAGCTGCAGTGAGGGCTGATCCGCTGCAAATGTGCTCAGGAAGGGGTAGTTATTTCCCCCCGAGTTGTCTTTAGGGTGGTGCAATACTGAGACACCCTTCACCCCCCCACCCCCGGGGCTGTGCACTGAGGGGAAATTCACAGCCCAGATGCACAAAGGACAGCTTAGTGATGGGCAAAGCCACTTCCCTGGGCAGGGGCTGTGAAATTAGAGGCAATCTGCAGCCCTGAATGTGGGAAATGAGGACTGTAACTAAGCTTTTGGTAAAGGGGGGTTAATTCTTTCTTTTTCCCTACACAGATAAAAGCCCTTTACATACACCTATTCATATGTTTGTGCTCACTTAGAACATCATATGTGTGGTCCTGTGCCCATACCCTCCTGTTTCTGGTTTACCTTTCTCCTTTGTTTCTCTTAAAGGAGAAGCAAACAGGAGAGAGGATCATTCTGTGTAGTTTTCCAGCACGAAGTGGGGATACAGATGGTAAAAATCCCCTTTCTTTTGTCTGCTTTGTTTTACTTTTGGAACATTTGTTTCTCTGCTTTGGTTCTTTGGTTCTCCCAGAGCTGAAGGAGGAAGAACTGTTGGGAACACATCCCTTTGTGGACTCTGTATGCAAGTCCACACAGAAGAGGGGAGTTGCAGAATCATTTAGGGGAATCATGGGAAGGGCCTTTTGGACCTTTTCTGGATTTGCATCTCCCCTGTAAAGAAGTCAAAGAAGTTATTACTCCTTTTGCCACCATGTACAGCCACACAGCCTTCTGAATTTGGCTGTCCCTTAGCTCTCCATATCCCTGACCGGTTATGAGCTGAGTTCACATGTGAAAAGCAGTATTTGTATCCTGCTGGCTGTGCAGCAAGCATTTACGCATCTGAAAGCCACCTCTGTTGCTCTGTCATTCTCCATGCTTGCTTCTCTGTTTTTTTTCCCTCTACTCCCCCACTAATGGCCTCTTGTAGTTGATTGACAGTGATAGCAAATTCTGCCTTTACTTAGCAGTGGGTGGTTGGAGTTCATCTCAGCTGTCTGATTTTCTGAAAATGAGGTATTTAATCCAATCTGGACATCCAGGTTCATGGTAGCGTCAAAACGCTCTCATGGGGTGACCTTTCTTCTCTTACAGGTATGTGAAGGAGTGTAGATTAATTTTTATGTGGTTGAAATTGAAGAATTAGGTCTGTTTTCTTGTGAAGTAGGAGAAAGGGAGAATTGAAAAATGAAAGAAAAAAGGGGGGGGTGCCACAATCTGAGCTGCTGACTCGATTTGTTGCTGGATAGGGTTGTGGTAGGAGGGGACTGTGCTGCGTTCTGGGCACAGAGGAATGCTGTAGGCTGTGCAGGAAGTACAGCCTTGTGATTTAGAAGCTCATAGTGATGTTATGATTTCTCTAGGATTTGTCACATGATGTTAAAAGGTCATAACCTGACAACTCAACAGCCCTTCCACCAACTTGCATGGAGGAAGCAGGTTCTTCCATCTGTAGTCTTGCATAATACAGGTAAATGCTAGCTAAAAATAATTACTGAGGGTGTTGTGGGAATCCATGTCTTGTGGCAATAACAGAAACCTAACTGTTCTTCTGAAATCTGAGCGTGATAAAATTTCCTGAGTTGTTTCCTGTGTGTTTTTAATGGAGTACTGTCAGTACTGGACATTTGAAGCCTGGCGAGAAGACATGCATGGCTCATTTTGTGCTTGGCTATACTTGTGTTCTATGTGCTGTTCATCTGCCAAGACCTATGAGGTGCTTTGGTGTAAAATATTTGGGCTTTGCTGCACCTCTTAATTTAAATCTTGTCTTAGTGTAAATGCATCCCTTGTAAACACCCCTTGTAATGCTGCGTCCCACTTCAGCTGCTGAGCTCAGCAAGATGAAGTGTCCAGAAAGCCGAGCAAGGAAGAAAGTACAGTTTTCATTTCCAGAGCTGTAGTGCTTTCTTTAATTTCCCTCCCCTTCAATGTGTGCCCTTCTGTGGCGTGTTAATGACATTCTGCATTAATAACACCTGCAATGGTAATGTAGCATTACGATGAAAAAGCAGTGGTTAGGGTGGGGTTTGTAATGCCTAACAGGTTTTTGGAAGCTCAACAGAAAGGAAAACAAAATCTGTGAAACGTGAGCGGTGGGCAGACACAAAGTGTTACAGAATTCAGCTGTGAACATGGCCAGTTCCCAGCAATACATTCTGATGGGGTTATTTACAGTTGTACAAAGAACTCCAGGTGGATTAATGATTGAAAAATCTGGCCATGGGAAGGCAGATCTGCAGCTGCAGAAGATGCTTATAAAATAAAGTGGTTACTCACATGGAGATGCCATTCTTAGGAGCTGACACAGCCAGCTGCGTTTCAGGGTGCTCGAGATGCTCTAACAAATGCAGTGTACTGAATATCCCCCATCCAAATCCCCTGCTGCAGGTTACCTGCAAGTTGAGCTGACAACCGGATGAGATTTTGGATGCCAAAGTGAGCAGAGCAGCTCTCCCATCCCTGTGGAATTGTCAAATCATTAAAGTTGGAAAAGAGCACTAAGATCATTCAGTCCAGCTATCAATAGTAGCTATTGTGTTGTGACACGTCTACAGGAAAACGCACTGTTAAACGTACACCATTAGACATAGAATGCTCATTTTTATTCAAATATTTTTATTCAGTTTTACACTCTTGTGTGTAAGGAACACCTGCAGCCCACAGTGAATTTCAGTAGAAATTCACTTTGAAGTATCTTTTTAACACCTTTAGTAGAATCCAGCAATTGGATCTTCAGTTGTTGGTTCAATTTCTGCAGTGTAAGTGATAGCTTACAGTAATTCAGCCAGTGTGTTACAAACAGGGTGTGGTTTGCTGTAAGTATAATGCTGAGAGACTGGGAAAAAAAAAATACAGCCGTACGCCATAGAATGGCAGAATAGTGTAGGTTGGAAAGAAACCTTCAGGATCAACAGGTCTATGACTCAGTGCTACCACCTTGAAATCGTGGCCCTGAGTGCCTCATCCACATGGCTCTTAAATAGCTGCTGGTATACCTGAACACAGCAAGGAGTGAGCATTGCATCTCTTGGTCTCAGTAGAAAGTGAGGATGGCACTGAACCTTTGCAGCTTTATATTGCTGCAGTCAGGTGCCTTTCAGTAGATAAGAGCACAAGAGGCAAAGATAAGGCTGCATTTATCTTGTTTCCTGTAAGATAATATGGCTCTGTTCATTGGTCTGAATGCTGTTGTGGTTTTTAATGCATCATTTTTGCACAAACTGCTGTGGTTGTTGCACAGTGACCACTCCAGTCTTTTCACATGCTAGATAATCAGGATCCTTACCTTTCATTTAAGCTACTTACATTTGATTACATTAACTTTCCTCCTTTTTTCTTTTAATTTCCAGTAAGATGCATGTTTATTCAAACTCAGGACACACCAAACCCAAACAGCCTGAAGTTTATTCCAGGCAAAGAAGTGCTGGAGTCCAGGACTATGGAGTTTTCCAGCCCAGCTGCAGCATTTTGCTCACCTCTAGCAAGGTATTATTAAACACATCATAATTTGTATGGGGGACCATGCAGGCTGTGTTTCGACAATTAATGTTCTAAATGCATCCTGCACTCAGGAGCAGATTGGTTGGATTTTGTTTGTTGATGTTGCTTTGCTTGTACATAAAATTGAAGATAGTCATTGCCAAAGTGGTCTGTCTGTGCTCTTGGCTCTGTTGTATGCATCATGCAGCTGGATTGATTTATTCCAAGTCCAGGATTCTTGAATAGCTGCTGCGTTGCCAGCGAGGCCTCTGGCCCTGATTTTGCACAACTGTTCCCAC